ATAGACCCAGAGACAACAGCGGACTTGATGACACCACTACTGGAGAAGGTGTGGAAAGAGGGCAAAGTACCCGAGGATTGGAAGAACAGTTACTTATTCAAACTTCCAAAGAAAGGAGACTTAAGTCAATGTAAAAACTGGCGTGGAATTATGCTTCTGTCCATTCCAAGCAAGATACTAAGTCGCATCATCCTGGAGAGAATCAAACAAGCCCTAGATGAAAAACTTCGTCCGGAACAGGCTGGATTCAGGAGAAACAAATCATGTATTGATCAAATCGCCACTCTACGGATCATCATTGAACAAAGCTTGGAATGGCAGTCACCTCTCTATCTCAACTTCATCGACTTTGAAAAGGCCTTCGACAGCGTCGATCGAGAGGTCATTTGGAAACTACTTCGCTACTACGGGGTCCCATCGACAATTATACACCTCATCCAACAGTTATACGACAATGCTGCATGCCAAGTAATCCACAACGGGAAACTTACGGAAGCCTTCGAAGTGAGGACGGGAGTGAGGCAAGGCTGTCTACTATCACCAATGATCTTCCTGATTGCAATTGATTGGATAATGCGACAGACAACGGCAACCAACGAGGGAACAGGCATAAAATGGACTGACACAAAAGACTTGGAGGATCTGGATTTCGCCGATGATATATGTCTGATTTCCCATAAACTGGAAGATATGCAAGTGAAAAGTAACAAGTTGGCAGAAGAAGCATCAAAGATAGGACTTCACGTGAACATAGATAAAACAGAGATAATGAAGATTCCTAGCCAACATCAACAACAACAACAGACCACAATAAGCATAAATGGGAAGAACCTGAAAGAAACAACCTCCTTCACCTACCTGGGAAGCATCGTCTCAACTACAGGCGGAACTGACGAGGACATCAAAGCCAGAATCGGAAAAGCAAGACAAGCTTTCATTACTCTCAAATCTGTGTGGAGGTCAACAGCAATCAGCATCAAAAATAAGATCCGGATTTTCAACTCCAATGTGAAGTCAGTGCTACTATACGGATCAGAGACTTGGCGAGTCATAAAGAGCATCTCAAACAAACTTCAAACCTTCATTAACAACTGTCTCCGCTCAATACTCAAGATCAGATGGCCAGAAAAGATCAGCAACAGGGATCTCTGGGAGCGAACCAATCAGGAACCGATTGTGAAACAAATAGGCAGAAAGAAATGGAGATGGATTGGCCATACGCTGAGGAAACCATCAAGTGACATCACTAGACAAGCCCTCGAGTGGAACCCGAAAGGGAGGCGGCGAGTTGGTCGTCCAAGGGTGACTTGGAGGAGGTCATGCGAGGAGGAGATGAAAGCATGTGGACAGACCTGGAGCAGGGTTAAAAAGTTGTCAGAAAACCGAAGTCAATGGAGGTGCGCAGCTGAAGCCCTATGTTCCTCTAGGAACTAAAGGATACAATAATATAATAATAATATAATATATATATATATATATATATATATATATATATATATATATATATATACTAGAGTAGAACCAGAGAGAGATGAGGATCTAATTGAAAAGTAAATATATCTTAGCTCAATCTTTCTGTTTTCTAAATATCAATTTTAGCCATACGGTTTCATAATTTGTATTATTTCTACCCCCTTGTTGTTTGTTATCACCTTTCATATCTCTGACATAGGCATTGCGCCATTTCGATGGCACGTGTTCCGTGTTGAATCTATGAACAAAGCTTTGGCGATTAATGTCTGTCTGTCTCCACCTATCTGTGTTACTCTTTCTGATAGTTTCACCCTGTCCCACCCAACCCATTTTGTGATTACATGCAAGGGAATGCAATGCAGTGCAGTGGCTGAGCTTTTTTCTAGATTATTCAACTTAGCAGAGGCAATAATTCTACGTCTAGCTAAATTTTTATGTTCCAATAATCTAGTTGACACCCCGATCTACTAGTTTGACTGGCTTATGTAATTGACATCACAGACATTATACGTGGTACTTGGTAAATTATGTGATTTTTTGTTAATTAGATCTATCGGATCTTTAGGGAGGGGGGGCATTTTTATTGCTAAGCTTATTTTTTCCATGGATTTTTATACACTTCTGAATAAATTCTGGTGGGTAGTTATTTACGAGTAATAGCTCCTTTATTCGTTTGATTCGTTCGTTATTTAAATCTTCTGGTTTCCTTGGTTAAGCTCTTGGCCTAATTATACAGACATTTAACTAAACGGATCCTCCTCTACCGATTCTGGATGGGGGTGAATTAAAGTCGAAGTATTTATTGGTGTGAGTGTCGGTTTCCTATAAATGCCAGTATCTAACCCACTCACCATCTTGTTTTCGTTTTATTCTATAGTCTAGCATAGGTAACTCACCCTGTTCGTTTCCTAACTCAGAAGTAATCTTAATTCCGTCTAATACTGAGTTTATATGTATGAAAAACTGAAGGATATGTTGAGATTGCAACACAATGAACGTGTCATCCACATTTCTCCACCATAACCTAAAAGTAAAAGCTTCATAATAACGAACTTACTATATAAATAGATGACCTGAAATGAGGCGAAAACGAATTCCGTTATGACACACTTCTAACTAAATAGCCAATCTGTGGATTATTTTATAGTGTTGGTGGTTTATAGTGGTAGGTAGAATGATCACCCGGCAACAAAAAGCACAAAAATTTCGGTTTAATCCTCCCGGTGGACGCATTCCTGAACACCATCTAGCTTACTTACGGGCTGGTTCCAAGTCCAAAAAATAGGGAAAATTGAGTGAGACAAGGAGAGAGTGTGGGTAAAAACCTAACTTCGTACAGGATATTTTGAATTGACACTAACTAGTACCACACATTAGTCACGAGCTCGAATAGGTCAGTGGATGACCCGCGTTCAAATATCAGAAGGGACATTAATTTCTTCAAAATTACAGATACGCCTCGCCAACTGACGAGTGCTATCCAATAAGCCTGAAATCTAGAAGAGTTAGGTTTCCAGCCGATTTCCTCTAACCGTCTAATAACAACAACAATTCTCTCTTCGTCTATATGCACAACCTTTTTGTACAATTTAATATTGTGCTGTATTTATCACTGTCTATAATCTAGCTAATTGGGTAGAACAGACAAGTTGAAATAACACACTTTCTTATCAGGACTCTGTGTTGAACAGTAGTTTAAATCAGTGGTAAAGACCACTGCAGCAGATACATAGAGACAGGATGTCCAGAGAAGAAAGTATTATGAGGTCTTGGAAACCTTAGTTCCAAAAATAAGAAATTACTAGGCAAACCACTCCATACATATTGTGGAAACGCAACGATCTATCAAAGTTGGCTGAACTGTAGTGATAGCTAGTACATACGCTGTGTATATACACCAAGGCTTTATTTATTAACCAACGTATATATACCACCATATATATATATATATATATATATATATATATATATATATATATATATATATTGATATGGTTGTGTTCTCTGAGCTGGATAGTTAATTGGCGAAGCTTTCATCGCCCTACTAGGCAAAATCTTCAGCGCATGCTTCAATTCGATGAAATGAGCTTTTAGATTTCTCCATGAGTTTATTAATCATCTCTCCTGGTGACCTTGGATGTGATTGGTGGTTGTTTTTGTGTGTTTTCACATCCTCTAGGTTACTTGTATTGAAACTGATTGTTTCTTTCACTTGAACTTTGACCCTTTGTGTGTGAGGTTTCCTTCTTATCTCGTCAACACTGATCATTCCATCTCATCAAACGCCTCCTCCTTTAAAGTAATCTACAAAGTGAAGAACAACTTTGCAAAGACAATACATTTCCGTCTTCCTTGCATTGCAGAAGCCCTAGCCATTCAGTCGGAAGAACCAGAACTATGCATACAAAAGTAAATTAGTAAACCACTTGTACTATCATGGTAAAAATCGCGTTGATTTGACTTAACTTTTGTTTGTATGCTTATTTTTCTAACTACTTAAAACTCTTGCGTAATTCCGTATGTTATTTTGTTTCCATGTACACCCTGAGCACAACCCTTTCGTCAAACTATTCACGTTATCACGTAACTCTTTTTTAACAATCGTTTTTGACAAGTCATCACTTTTGTTACTAACCCGTTATATAAACATGCAATTCATCTGAACTTAATAATTGTATTTTCGTTTGACAAATTTAACGTACACACACATAAAAAACAACCATATATATTTGCGATTGTACAGCTATGAAAATGAATTCGTCGAAAAGAGACTCTTCGCTGAACTACTGATCTTCTGTCCTTCTTATCGGTTGGTAAATTTTGTCTATCTCGATGTGTCTATCGACTGATGATTCACTTAAGTAAAACGTAGCCTTCTAAAAGTTCTCTAGCATTCTTGTTGTTTCCTCTGTTTAATATTTGAACGTTGGTTGTCCGAATTGAATTGATGCCCATGGTTGTCTGTATGATAGCTTTGCAAATTAACTAGCCAGTTCAGAGAACACAATCACATCAAAATCATCCACCTGAGAAAGAAATCTTCTCCATCATATATATATATATATATATATATATATATATTGCGCCTTGATCCAAGGTCAATTGCCAACCAATCAGAGTGCTTATTTTCCCTGAACCTAGCCGAATCGCCCAACCAATCAGGAAAGCCTATTTTCCACTGCCTTAGCTAAATAAACTTTAATGTGGTTAGAAATAAATACATAAATGATGTGCTTCAGCCTAATAAAGTCATAATCTAACAGTCACAGAGCGACTAGCGTCTTTGTCTTTTGACAGTTTTACCTAGCTCAGTGAAACGGAAGGTCCTCTATAAAAGACTAATAACCCTATCTAGCATAACAGTTAATTTGTTCCCGTTGCGTCAGTATTATTATACCCATGCATAAGTGGATACTCCGTCATACCTACTGTCAACAAGATCTCACAATAATTACAGACAGATTCATAATACAAATACACAGAATTGCACATGGAAAAAGAATTTCACACATTTGAATACCACTTACCCCCACGTTTACGACGTGATTCTTTCCCAGATTCAATCATTTTAGGACTTTGAGGTCTAACACCACCACCAGGCATTGTTTGATCAGTTCCACTGGTGGTGTTAAGATTTGTTATATTACCAACGGTCCCATTAGACGAATTACTTGACACGCCTAAATTATTCAAACCATTTACAGAACCAGTTCTATCAGTGGGATTAAAAATATCCAATGGTCCATCAATACGCAGGCAACGGATTGCATGGATTACGGCACCATCTGACGATAATGGAATTGATATAGATAGACTCTCTTCATTATTTTTATTATGAGGAGTGTATGGATATTTCTGTTGTACATCTACAGATGGTTTATCTTCTTCTAAAAAGTAAAAATGGAAGTAGAGATTTTATGAATAATAAGGACCAAATCCTATTATACACAATAAGTATGTCAAAGGTCAATTAAGCGATACACAACAAATGATAAACAACAATAATAATTTGTTTTATTCCAAAACAGTACTTGTGATACAGAATGCAATTCTCAGCATTTCACTACATACAGTACTGCATCCAGTTAGTACATTAACAATCAATAAAATTATATACAGATTATGGGTAAACTCAGTTAGTTTTGACAACAACATATTAGCATGTCGGTAGCAAAGCCAAAAGTGAACAGAATGTTCGAAGGTGTTAGAAAAGTAGATTACTAGCATATTTACTGGCGTAAGCAGAAGAAAGAAACAAAGCAGCACATAACAGAGAAAAAAAGAGAGAAAAGGAAAGAAAGAAAGAAAACGTTGTACCTAAAAATGATATGAGTTGGAAAGACGAGATCCAGTCGTTCTACTGACTATTTAATAAGTTATAAGCTTCACACCTAATACTTTCTTTATCGCACAGAACACGAGCTAAGTAGGGTATGGTTGAGTTTTTGTACTTGCTAGTGCGAGCATATAGTTTTCTATATAGGCTTCTGGTCTGCCTGCCTGATGAGATACAAGAGGAGATTTGTGAATGAAGAGGGTGGTGTGAGTTAGATAAAATGGATTTAGCCCATTTTTCACATGAGTCCAAGTGCCTGTCAACCAGAATATTAACCAGCTGGTTGAGTGGCAAACTGCTTACCCTGTTGACAACCATTAACACCCTACATAATAAGATGTAGTCCTTCTTCAGTAGCCCTGGAAAAACTAAGGGGGAATAATACAGAATAATAGACTGGATGCAAGAGTTAACGAATCGTAAGAGTAAGGGTTGGGTTATTCCATAATGTCTTAACTTCTTGATGTAGAAGGTAAGAAGGTGATGACAATATGCTTGAACTTAACAACAAAGAGAAATAAAGGATTTCGTCATGGGCTGATATCGACTGGAGAACCATTGCAAAATCAACACTCGAGTACTTCATCAAGTCAGTACGAAACGCCGGGTTTCGTACTCAGGACCTTCCGGTTACAAGATAAGCTCGCAGATCATTCAGTCGCTGCGAGTCTATGAATTTTAACTTCTACTTATTCGTAACTAGTATTTTTTTCCTGACCGAAAGCTGCTACCTTGACGTGGTGGTCGGGCTTGAACACCACAATGTACCAACAAGCTATACAGGCTGAGTATTATGTCTCTTGAGGTCCTACCATGCCAGAAAGGTTGTTTGGATAGCTGTTAAACAAAAAGCAGCTACCCAATCCAACACTATGATACATACAAACTCACAAAATATCATGCCGGATCGGCCGGGGCCCGGATTAACAACGACCGCGCTTCCTGCTGCCATGTCACAAGGGCAGGAGTGATAAATATGCTGCTGAGACAAACCAAACAATAAAGAACGAACAAAAACAGGCAGTTGTCCCCTGGGCTCTGAGGTCACGCAACCAACTTCCACGATGTGGGCAGCCGGGAAGTAAAAATCGCCCTCACAATCTGACACAGTGACGAGTATTTGTCCTCATTCCTGACCGGATTGATCCTACTAGTCATGACTTCTCACTAGAACTCAAGGCAACCCGGTGAGTGCGTACGGCCGATGAGTCTCAGACTAGGCTGAAGAAACAGCTGTCCACTACTCCAGTGCTGGTTGTCAATGGTCGGTTCTCTCACTGATACCAATTCATGATCAAATTTGAAGCTAATCCTATTTCAGCTAAGATTTCTCGTTGAGGGATACAACGGATTAGCATCTGTAAATCGCTGTCCACCCCCACACACTAGGTATCTCAATCAATATAGCCTCACAACCTCATTTATTGGTTTCTCTTCCTGAACATAACCTCTACAATTTCTCTTCAACTAGTAAAGAAGACCGTACAAAAAAAGTAAAACTGTCATCCCGACTAGCGGAAGTGAAACATTTGAAACAACAATAAAAGTCTGCATTTATTTATTGAATAACTTACCAAACCAACGAACATGTGCATCGGTAGTGATTCTGTGCGGTAGATAGCGTAGACTTGAAGATGCTGTTGTCGGCTTATCAGTATTTGAAAAAACTTCAACAGTTGATACAGTTTGTTGTTTTGTATGATAAGATTCACTGGTTAATTTATTCGATAAATTAAGCGATGATTGTTGATGGGGTTTTTGTTGCTTTTGTAGCTGGGAATTGATATTCAATTGTTGTTCAATGGTTATACTAGACGGTTCAGTCAACGGTCTTGCTGTTTTACTTCTTTTTAATGAAGAAATACGACATTTTTCATTCTTATTATTACTACTACTAGTTGCGGGGGTGGTGATAATGGAAGAACTGTTGGCCACACTGACATCGTCGTGATAAATATTGGCTGGAGAAGTTTTGGTGGTGGAATTTATCGATTTATTATCAACAGTAGAGTTGGACAGCTTAGAATTTAAATATTCTTTTCCTGTTGTCAATTGCTGACACGGATGAGGACTGTGATGATGGTGATATTGATGATGTAGCTGAAGGTTTTCGTCTTCTGTATACTTTACATTCTGAAAGATAAGAAGACACTTTTCTTTCATCTAAGCATAAATTAAGAAAATATTTCTGAAAGGTATAATGTTAATCAAGTCTGGCTTTACAGGATTTCATCATGAGCTGACATTAGTTAGAGAACCACTGGAAAACCAGCACAGAAGTACTGGACAACTGTTTCCTCTGTCCTAGTTTGGGACTCTTCAGTAGTATGCACCTACCGATAGGGTTCGAACTCAGGACCTTCTGGTTGTAAGGCAAACTGGCTCGTATACCATTAAGCCACTGGGACCCGATCCAATGACTCATGAATCCTAACTTCTGCCAATTCATGATAGAGCACAACCGATAGCCAATGTCTTCGGCGAGTATTTGTCCTCACACCCGACCTGCTGTACCCTACTGGTCACGACTTCTCACTAGAAGCCTAGGTAACCACCTGTAACCAATCAAATCCCTACAAACCAACACTTGAAAATCTGAGTTTATTTGGCGACACTGTGTGGTCAGGAAATAATCTAATTGGGAAACTTTTTGTTTCAAGGTTTAACCTTCGAAAAAATTGGAAACCAATCGGAAGAAGATTTTTATTATCCGCTGACCACCTGGCCGACTCCTAAAGCGGTTAAAAATGTGTAAATATGGTGTGTTCGTCATTAATAAAAAAGTCCTCGGTCGAGTTTTTTGTCTTCTTCGGATACGATAGAGTAAACCATTAGACTGAATGGTATAGAGAGAACTTGTACGAAGCTTTTTCTTTTCTTGGATTCCTATTTCAAGTATTTTTAGAAGTTTTAGTAGCTGTGATGTTCTTACGCGATGAGGAGGTTGTTAACTACTCATGCCTAGCCGTCCCTCTTTTTCAGGCCTAATATCATCAGCTAGTTAAACTAACTAGACGAGGTTCAGGAGTACGCTAGGCGGGAATCATCAAACCCAGACTTCGGGCATGGCTGTAGAGCATTCCACCGATCAGCGAACGACGCAAAAGGACAAAGATTAAAACAGAAAATTATCAATGCTCATCTGAATGGCTCAAACAACGGTCGCAAACACTTGGTCTAAACATTTGACAATGTTAACGAGGTACATATTGGTACACCCTCAGTACGTAATACGAGAACAGTTGTTTAAGGGTGTCATGTATAATAATGCATCTCAGAAGGATAATCTTGTTAGCGTTAGATGGTTAGAGGCAATCAATCAGCAGGAAGCCTTACTTCACCTAGGTTTCGAGCTAGTTAGTTGGCACTCACCAATCAGCAAGACAGGTATACCTGCAATCTTGAAGGAATTCATGCGCCTTCTGAGATTTGAACCCATGCCACCCAGTTGTGCAGTCAGAGACGTTACACGACTGAGTTATTCGGGCTCGTGATACTGACCCCCTCTATAAGACCATACTGGATATGTTTGTTTTGATTGGATACTAGTCAGTAACTGATGTCATTTATCTAGTCCTTCGTTTAATGCAGACTGAATTCAATCAATCAAGTTTGCAATGTGGGGAGTATAATGGTTGGCTCACCATCACAATACACTGTGAATCGTTGGTATCAGATATTTTAGTGAATAATATTGACTTAGTTGTGTTCTCTGTCTGATATGGTTGATTTAATTGCGAAGCCTTCGTTCACCCCCCCCGCCACCTTCTAGACAACATCATCAGCTAAACTTTTAGTATGAAATGAACTTATTAGAATCATTTCTCCATGAATGATGACATAATCAATTGTATCCCATGACAACTATTGTCGTCATTGGTTATTAATTTACGTCTCTAGTGATCATTTCGGTTGATTTAGAATTTCAAATTTCTTGTCATGTGGTGATTTATTCTTTGTTAGTTGGTAAATTTGATCCATACTAATTATTATTATTGTATCCTTTAGTTCCTAGAGGAACATAGGGTTTCAGCTGAGCACCTCCATTTCCTTCGGTTTTCTGACAACTTTTTCACCCTGCTCCAGGTCTGTCCACATGCTTTCATCTCCTCCTCGCATGACCTCCTCCAAGTCACCCTTGGACGACCAACTCGCCGCCTCCCTTTCGGGTTCCACTCGAGGGCTTGTCTAGTGATGTCACTTGATGGTTTCCTCAGCGTATGGCCAATCCATCTCCATTTCTTTCTGCCTATTTGTTTCACAATCGGTTCCTGGTTGGTTCGCTCCCAGAGATCTCTGTTGCTAATCTTTTCTGGCCATCTGATCTTGAGTATTGAGCGGAGACAGCTGTTAATGAAGGTTTGAAGTTTGTTTGAGATGCTCTTTATGACTCGCCAAGTCTCTGATCCGTATAGTAGCACTGACTTTACATTGGAGTTGAAAATCCGGATCTTATTTTTGATGCTGAGTGCTGTTGACCTCCACACAGATTTGAGAGTAATGAAAGCTTGTCTTGCTTTTCCGATTCTGACTTTGATGTCCTCGTCAGTTCCGCCTGTAGTTGAGACGATGCTTCCCAGGTAGGTGAAGGAGGTTGTTTCTTTCAGGTTCTTCCCACTTATACTAAGTAAGGTGCTTATTAATTGCTGATTCATTCGACTACCAGACAGGTTTCTAGAAATTCTCTGACATTACTTTCGGTACTTCCTCTCCTGTTTGAAATTTCTACATTCTACCAATTATCAAATTAGTGTCCGTAATTATCTACACGCATATATATGAAAGAATACAAGATGTCGTGTCTTTTCACAGCTAATCGATGTGCATGGATTCGGATTCAAAGGCGACACCCACTCCAACCAATGCAGCGCTTATCACAGTTTATGCAATTTATTTTGTTTGTATTTTATTTTTGATCTTATCTTCTTTCGCTGTTGGATCCTTTGGTTTGCACAAAACTAAATAAAGTGATTGTGTCAGTTGGCTTGTGTGATATGTCTATTTCAAATGTGATCGTAGTATTCAAGCCTTCATTTGATATATGGTGGAACGAATTTTTATGCGTTTGAGGATGATAACCACTTGTTGGTATAACGATTTGAGTTTAAACATTTTTTTGATGAAATTATACGAATATTCATTCTTCTCAAAGACAATTAGTACATATATCGCTTCCATTCTCTTCAGCATTGGAGTGTTACAGTGTATCTGAACTCTCTTAAAAACAATGTCTCCACATAATATCTTTTATGAGTCATTGGAAGAGCACAAATTGGCCGTGGAAAGGCACAATTTGTATTCTTTCATATCTATGCGTGTAGATAATTACGCACACTAATTTGATAATTGGGAGGATGTAGAGATTTTAGACAGGAATGGAAACACCGAACGTAATGTCAGGGAATTTCTCGAAGTCTGTCTGGTACTCAAATGAATCAGCGATTAATAAACACATCACTTAGTATAGATAGAATTTACCAACACAAAATAAATCGCATGATAAGTAAGTCCAAATTCCAAGTGAATAATAATGATCAATAGAGGCGTAAATTAACATAGAACGAATGACGACAATGGTTGTCAGTAGGGGGATACAATTAATTATATTATCATTCATGGGGAAATGATTTAAATAAGTGCATTTCATACTAAAAGTTGGGCTGTTGAAATTGTCTATAAGGACAGACAACGACAGGTTTGCAATCAGAAAGATGTTCTGTGTAGTCAAACAACAAGAGTAGCCTGATGAAAAAACTCTAATTACAACATACAAACCTGACTGTGGTATTAAATACTGATGATCTGGTTAGCAGCTGGAAGTCATGACTCAACTGGTAGACCGTCAGGAAGTAACTTATTAGAATCAGGAGATCAAACCAGATTTTCACCTAATCTTCAGTCATTATTATCTGTTAATCTAGGGCTGTGTGTTAGGAGGTAGTCTCGCCAACGTATTCGATTAGTGTCATATTTCAGTTTGAAAACACCCCCCGGCCCACCATCACCACACTCTACTCCATGAATCTCTCCATGTTTAGCTCTGCTTTAATAAAATGCTTGTACAGGAAAGCGGAGACAAGTAAATGTAACATATGATACGAGCACTTCAATCGATAGAGAATCATAACCTTCCTTATCTGAACACTTAAAACGTTTCATTTTGGTATTTTTTTTACAAAACTGTTCACTGCCGGAAATGAACATTTCTACGATGACACCTGTGATTAAAAGTTTATAGTCTCTTTTCATAACATGAACTCTTAGTAACCAGGTGAGAGTTGTCAAGAACATGGTGAATAAATATACTTTCGATAGGTAATCGGATAGTCCTATTTTGTTTGGAAAACATTCGAGGATTTCTTGTTTACACAGTCTGAGATTCCTCCAAGCAAGTAGTCGACTGAAACGGATCATTATCATCACTACTTAATTAAAATAAGTAGTTGGTTCAGACAAATGACATAACATCATCGTCATCACGCATTCAACAGAGGTGAAGCACTAGTGGCAGGTCGACACATGAGACTGAAACCAACCGAAGCGATACGTCTATGTTATGTCTACAATAGAGAACTAAATTAAAGTGATACGTTGGAGATTGCTGTTGAACGCCACTATTGGTTATTATTACTATAAATACCCTATGCGAAAATTCTTCGTTAGGTGTCACGAGACTATGTGATCTTGTGCATAATAAGCCTAACAGGTCCTTAACAAATCAAACTATAATGCCACCCTTAAGCCAACAGATATGCCAGGCATGTATCAGACACCGATAAGTTTGCACCCTAAGGGTTATGCAATGAGTAAAGATGTTTAAGCTTCAAAGCTTGCCTGCTTTGCTGTGACAGTTTTATTTTCGAGCCCTAATTTATTATGAAAACTCGACCAACCAAGCTAACTCGCCGGTGTCATCACATCTTGCTTCGATCACTCTCAACTTTCGGAAGTAATCCTTCATCTTCCTCGGAAGGGTGATGTAATGTAATTGTAATGTAGCCACCATGCCCCGCCACCACGGTGCCCTCAGAATTGTTGTTATAATTACATGGTTAGAGGAAGTCGAAACGAAGCCGTACCTCACACCTAGGTTTTGTGATTGTTGGTTGGCTGGAACTCAACAGTCACCAAGACAGGCGTATCTGAAATTTTGAACGAACTCATGTCCCTGCTGGGACTCGAACCCGTGTCACTCAAGTACTGCAGTTATTCAGAGACGTTATCACCACTGAGCTACTCTATTCTAATTACCTCATAAAAAAATTTAGAGTGCAAGGTGATATCGAGCTAACTAAATTGATGGTCCTTATACAAACCTGACTGAGAGAATTCAGTCTGCAGCAAACAAAGGACTAGAAGCATGATACTGAGTGACTTCAATCAACCTAGAATTTCACACAGACGTGTACAGTTCGAGTTGCCACACTCCCTCCATGTAGCACACAAAGCCAGAGAACAGAGTGGGTGGGTGCGTACTGCTAAAGAGCCCCAAACTAGGACGAAACAGCTGTCCAGTACTCCCAGGTTTTCCAGTGATTCTCTAACTGATGTCAGCTCATGATTAAATCATCCATGCAATCAAACAAAATCCCTACAAAACCAATACTTGAAAGATAATAAACACAACTATGCGGCAAAAAAAAATAGTATTATGAAAGAACAATAGAGTTTTATTGGATATTATAAATCACAAAAACAAGGGATGCATCTGAGCTGTCACTGACAACGATTTTGAGCCGTATCACCAATTGTCTCCAGCCGTCATTGGTTCTTACCATACCACGGAACCCTGTCTGTCTGTCTGGATTCAACATAGAACTTGGCACCGAAGTGCAGCAGTTCAAGTTACCACGGAACCCAATAGGCAGTAAGCCAGTCTACACCTCCCTACGTGACTTTAACTGTTGTGAATTTCATTGACTGATGAAGACATTTTTTAGTGTGACCACCACTAGCTCTTTCCAACCACATTGCTCCTGTGTCACCCAACACTGCCCATCGAGGAAGACGATGCCAAGGCTAAGCATGTGTAACACATGTCCCAACCATCTCAGTCGATTTAACTTCACAACCTTGTCTATTGATTTCCCCTCCTTACCTAGTACTCGACGCCTAAACTCAATATTGCTCACCCTATTACACCTACAACCTAACAAGTAAGACAGAACGCATGCACCTATGATCAATAACAACTAGCCTTTTCATGTATTCCACTTTCAATGGCCATTACTCACTCATATTCAACTACGAAGGAGGACGGGCGAATTGCTGAGCAGTACACATATCCTTTGGTCGACAGCCGGATATCACAGATATCTACGTCTACTAGTTGACTAAGTCGTTGAATACATTCCTACAGGAGGTCAATCACGATTTCGAATAGCTCAGTGGTGGTAACGTCTCTGACTGACTGCAGCACTGGGTGACACGGGTCCGAATCTCAGAAGGGATATGATGAATTCCTTCAAGATTGCAGGTATGTCTGCCTTGCTGTATGGTGAGTGCCAACTAACTGGCTCGAAGTCTGGGTAAGGTAAGGCTTCCCAGCTGAATGCCTCCAACCGTCATCTTGTATCTGCTGTTAAAAACTCCACCCAGCTGTCGCACACAAAGAAATTAATCTACATACGATATCATCACAAAAATGATCAATATGGGATAAGATTATATCCAACTAACCTGTAGCTGCTCATTTCTTGATAATAACACAGATGAATTATTTTGATCAGATAGATTAAGTGAATCCGCGGGGATATTTTCATTTTCTGTACAAATATGTTCTGTATACATTGTCTGCTGTTGTTGTTGTTCATTTTGAATTTGATATTGTATTAAATCAGTCAGTGTAGAAACCATAAGATCTCTGGCATTCTGATCTGTACAAGCTAGTGATATTTGACAAGGTGGTGGTGGTGTAAAATCCATACTAGTAGAATTGGGATCTGAAAAAGACAAATCCCACAACAGAAATTAGAAGAAAACATCTCTCAAGTTTGATCATGGAATTTATTTAATTTTGGGAACCGCTGAAAACCAGCACTCGAGTACTGGGACAGCTGTTTCTTCAACCTACAGTCTAGGACTCATCGGTAGTACACACCCCCACCACATGGGTTCGAAATCAGGACCCTACCGGTTACGAGTTAGACTCGTAGACTATCCAGCCATTCAGAAGCGATACAATGACCAGCACATCAATCCTAACTTCCACAACATTCGTCACTGCTTTTAGCGCGACTGACATCAACTAATGTCGTCGATCTCTGGCGAGTATTTGTTCTCAACCACGACAGAATGGACCCCCACTGGTCACTGGAACTCCAGGCAACTTCGAATAGATAGAGGTTAGAATTCATAGGCTGGCGGTAGGTGACTGCGGGGTCGGATTCCAGTGGCTGAATTGGTCTACGAGCTAGCTTGACTTGTAAGGAGGAGGTCCTGACTTCCAGCCTTGGAGGTGGGTATATACTACCGATGAGTGTCGTAAATTAAGCTGACGAAACACATGTCCAGTACTTAACTTCAGAGCTTGTTTTCTATGGTTTTATAACTGATATCATGAGATATCGGATGAAAAAAGAAAATTTCGCAGGATAGTATTACTACAATAGAAAATTTTTATGAATGTGAATAGTATCTTACCTGAAACTAGGAGATCCAAATCCGTCTCACTTTCAGTTGAACTGACCACAGTTAAACAATTCAGTGGGATCTTAGTCTGTTCATCACACAAGTAGGCAAAGAGAAGAGAAAAGCGGTTTAGATTGAAACTTCATATCTGTTTATCATTATTATTTAAACTCAATATTTGAGGCGGAATATTTAGCCATTTTTATTTGTTATTTGAAGTTTTTTAAATAGATAACAGGATCTGAAAATATATGATCCGGCGATAACTGCTACCTTGACCTCGTGGTCGAGCTTGCATACCGCAGTGACTCAACAAGCCTCACTAACTGGAACTTATTTTCCTAAAGGTCTTAACATACGAGGAAGGTTTCTTGGATAGCGATCAGACTAAAAAGCAGTTAATATGGTTTACATAAGCTCCAGAATCCAGACGGATCGAATAGGTATGAACCTGCATTGGTCACCGGTAACCGTGCGAATGTAGCTCCTGACGCTGCCTTTTGAGTGAGACTTTAGGTCAGAGAGTTAGGGGGAGGCTGTTTCCTAAGACACCCGTTCACTTCTGTCAGGGCAGTATCCCAGCTCTCAACACGAACAATCAAACAACAACTCACGACTAACGACATTTATCCTTTGGTTCATCATATTAGTATGTACACGATTCTCGTGTCTCAATTGGATTATTCAAGACATTTTTACTCCATTTTATTTTTATCTGTCCTAGGAATGTAGGTGACACTGAATTAATGTGAAAAATAAAAAAAAACCTTGGAGTTGCACCGAATACAAAACAATAAAGTATTGATTAAGCTGAAATAAACATGTAATCAGTCCAATAGAACATGAACTAATCGTCGAATTTGCATAAAGATCGATGACAAGTCTGGTTGGTAGTGGCAACAATACAACTGACGAATAATACTTTAAAACCTTTACCAATGCGGAATGTATTCCTTACTTTCTAACATGAGCATAGGGCATCTCAGCAACACATCTCCATTGCATTTAATCCTTTGCCATCTCATCCGAATGGTTTAACGGTTCCCGACAAGCCTTTATTCCCCCACCCCTCTAATGATCGTCCTAATCACACCATTGGACATCCAAACAATCATTTGCCATTCGGAAGCCTGGAGTATGATATTACTTAGAGATCTCTTTAGCTTCCGTCCAAAACACCTCTATTTCTTTCTGTATACTTGTTGGAAATAAGTTTTGGTTGGTTCTCTACCCGACACAATTCCTTACTGCTTATCATCCCACACTGTCGGCCATTTGATCTCCAGTAAGCACCCATTGATGAAATTTTAAAGCTTGTTGATGGCGACTTGTGCTAACTTTTGCCGCTTTTGTATTTTCATCGCCTCAGTTTTTTCTATGTTCACGTGAATTTATGTCTTCGCTGCCGATTTAACTAACTTATAAGTTTGCCTTTGTGAATTTTTGAGTTTTTCCAACATTAAGACATAAATTTCCCGTAAAATCAAGATATTTTGGGGTCATTTCATCAGTCCAACGTCTACGTGTCTTCTCACACCTCTAGTCAACGACAATCAGGAATATCACTGATGATATTAAGTAGACTTGTCTTAACGCCTGTCATCACTTCAATAACTTCAGCGAATTTAGCGTTGTAAATCCCCTTGTGTATACCATCATCATATAACTGTCGAATGAGGCTTATAAAGTATTTGTGGCATCCAGTAGAGTTGAAGAAGTTTTCGAATTACTTCATGGTCGACATTTTTGAAGACCTTTCCAAAGTCAATGAACTTTAGCTAGAAAGACGATTACCGTTTTCGACTCAGTTCGCTGACGTGTGGTGCTGCAATTTCGTTCACGTATGACGTACTTCTACTGAATCCAATGATCCATCAAAGTCATCTTTTAGTCTCTCTACGATAATACAGTTTAATATTTTGCTTGAAGTGGACAGGAGTATGATGCCACTGAAGTTCTTGTGTGGCTTAAATAATCCCTATTCGACAACTTCGCAAGAAAGCCTCTATTCCAATTAACAGGTTACTTTCCTATCCACCCCTCACCCGACAGCTTCTGAAACAGTGGCGTGAGTGTTTTATGGATCTATTCGCAGTGATATGCGGTTCTTTAGATATTAATAACTTTACAGCCTTCAAAACTTCCGCTTTTGTTGAATAGTCATCATCCACTGGTAGTTGTAGGTGGCAGTCACTTCAAGCGTCGTCTGAAGCGAATAGCTCAACAGTGACAACAGTATGATAGCCACAACATTAATGTGCTTATAGTTATTGTCTAGATGACCGGAGTGGATTATTGACTCAGTGAGTCCACTTCCATTCCATCTGCTCTCACAAATTCCTAAAACTTTTATGCCATAACTTCTTAATCATCCTGCAATTTGAGCAGCCATACCACTCTTAAACATGGTGCAGACTTTTCATGTTCCAATGCTTACTTGGAGAAAAATCACATAGTCAAACTGGCTTCTCCATAAGGCTTTAACTCACTGCAGAAAACCACTTGGAATTGAGAAAACCTCCCAATTCTATCTGAGAATAAGTTTGAATTTTCAGTAACGATGAGGTTGTTTTCTTGTTAGAGTCAAGTTGTTGAATCCACACCCAACCTGCACTCTCTTTCAGATTTAGAATCGATTAGGAAACAAGGTCAGGTAAATGGATACCTATAAAGTAACTGTCATTTCATAAAAATTTTGTTTTGTAAGTGAATACACGTATCTTTGTGAGTCAGAAACTTGGTCATCGCGCGTCACCAATTGCATTTCCAACAGGCTACTGCAGACTTTTATATCAACAGAGGACTTCATCAGCTGGCTGGCTACATATTGAAGATAAAATGGCTGGTCAGCCAGAAAGAATTAGCAACAAGAGACTCAGGCAATGAAAAAAAATCAACGAAGGACCTATTGCTCAATAAATTTGTAGAAAAAAATGGAGACGGATCGGGACACGCCAATGTGGAGACCGTCAAATGACATCGCGCCCTAGGCCTTCCGTCGCTTTCGAGTTGAACCCGAATGGGAAACGACGAATAGGACTTGGTTCCGAGGTTGATATGGAGTAGATCGTGAGACGAGGAGATGAGAGACTTTAGGGAATCGTGAGATCAGCTAAGGAAGACGACTCAGAGAAGTAGTGTTGAAGCTAATATATGTACCACTTGGAACCAAAGGGAACAATAGTAATAATAATGATCCATATTGTTTCAAATGTCTAATGAGAATTTCCCGAAAATACGTATTTTGCTTGCTTAAATCATGTTCTGAAATGGGAACATTTTAATTTATATACGTCCAAAACAAATTCACCTTTAACAGTTTGAAAAAATTAGGGCATTGGGCATATGATATTCATTATAAAACAGGTTTTTTTGTATTTCCCAATGAATGAAAAACAAAACCATATTGTTCTGTTTACTGACATTTCGCAATTTAATGCTGCTAATAGCTTTATCAAAATAGTATTATTAAGCCAGAATTTACAAAATCTCAGCATATATAACAAATTTAACCATCGTTGTTCCTCAGAATGGGGTCATTTTTGCGTTGTCACGTTGGCCAGTTGGCAAAGATAACAAAACCAGGTGTAGATGACTGTTGAATTTGATAAGTGTGTGAAATTATAAAAAGCAGCGTGTGTTTACATAATAAAATTGCTTATCACATTCTGTTTTAGTCCATCGTTCCTATTCAGACAATTTGGATTCTGACGTTAGACGTTCTTTGTGGTTTCTGAAATTTTTCTGGATGATGCTTTCAATATTGTCAAAATCAATTTTGTAACCTATGCTGATGGCTTTTCAAGCTTTTTTAATTCACTAACTGGATTTCTCGTTGGTCGAACAGAGAAGGCGGCTCTGTGGTGTTCATTTCTTCTGATTACCTTGATTTCTCGCGACGTTTGCCCGATATGCATCGCATCATATTTAAGCATTTTATTTTATGAACACAGATAGAGAATCCTTCGGGGTAAAGCTATTAGCAGAAAGCATTAAATAGCGAAAAGTCAGCAAACAGAACAATATCGTTTTGTTTTTTCATTCATTGGGAAATACAAAAAAAACCTTTGATGATATTAGATAGTTGGAGGTAATCCGCAGGAAGCCTTACCTGACCTAGGTTTCGTGCTAGTTGGCACTCATTAATCAGCAAGGCGTATCTGCAACCTTGAAGGAACTCACATCCTTTTTGAGATTCGAACCCGCGTTACCCAGTGCTGCCGTGAGAAACGTTACCACTGAGTTATTCAGGCTGGTGACTGACCTCCTGTAGGATTGTAGTGGTTATCATAATTGGACTGATAGCATACAGTCTGCACCAAATAAAGGACTTTACACGTCACACTACTTGCTAGTGTCCAATCAAAATGCCCACTACAATCCTACAGGAAGTCAATCGCCAGCCTGAATAACTCAGTGGTAACGTTTCTCACGGCAGCACTGGGTAACGCGGGTTCGAATCTCAAAAAGGATGTGAGTTCCTTCAAGGTTGCAGATACGCCTTGCTTATTAATGAGTGCCAACTAGCACGAAACCCAGGCGGTGTCCAAGGCTTCCTGCAGATTGCCTCCAACTATCTAATATCATCAAATCAATGTGCACCGTGATGGCGAGCTACCCAGAATGGTGGCTACATTGTAAAACCCGACTAACAGAATTCAGTCTGCACCAAAGACAGGACTAGACACGTCACACTAGTCACTAGTGTCTAATCAAAACAAAAGAAACCTTTATTATAATGCGAACACTCTAACATTGTACACACACGTGTATATATAATAAAAGAGAAAAGAGAGTATAAAGAGAGTTGAGACCAGCTTACAGTATAATCGTAGACATTGGGTTGATTTGTTTTTGCCAATAGGAGAACGCATGCAGGAAATATAACCAGCAATGATAATTGAGTCTTTTTTATCAAAGAATCTGCATTTATAAAATCGGGTAACACTTGTGATTGATCCATGTGTACACTGACTAGTAGTACGCGTAGAGTGAGAATTGGATCACCAAGTTGTTGAATAGGCTGATTGTGATTTGGTGCAGAAGTATAATAAAATAACAATAATAATAATGATAACAGTAAAACAACAATCTAAGTAACATACGGATAGAAGAATAATTGAAGGATATCTCATCCACAAAAGCAAGTAAGCATACTTGTCAAGAACGTTGAAAAGACGGTTCACATGACGGTTCATATTACAATTCTCATCCATATCTGATAACTTCTTAAGCTATTAATTCGAATTATCAGTCGGACTCCATTATGCAGAGAGAGTTGTAATGCCTAGCACAGATATAACCTTGATTCCATGGCACTATGTTATAACGCTGATGATCACCTCCTCTCCATATTTTGCCTACAGTTTTAGGGCAAGTAAACAGTGAGCTGCCTCTAGATGGAGCTTCATATCCCCCCCCCGCAGTCCGGATATTAGGCACCGGATGGTAAGTTACAAAGTTATTTTACTTTTTACTTCCTCACTACTGAGGAATTTACCAATTTTATTCATTTTTTTTAAATACGCGCTATCTTCTACTTCATTTACAGTTCTATCTCTTTAAGATCTGTCAAGCATTACTTACTTTTCAAGAGTTGGTCTATAGGGGTTTAATTTGTTTCTATTTTTACTACGGATTGCTATGACCATCTAGAGAACCATTATAAACGGTAAGGTTACTTCGTTTGAAACCCAGTGGGTGGGTACTGTTGATGAGTGTCAAACAAGGGAAGAAAAAACTCTCCAGTTGTCCCTGGTTTTCAACGATCTCCTATGCAAATTTATTTTTACGCTATCACATCTGATTTTCTTGTAAGGAGAACATCTAGGAATGCAATTCTGTTTTGGGATTCCTGTTCACAAGTGAATTTCATAGCAGAATGTACTTCATTGAATTCAGTAATTATTGTACTCCTATCCGAATCAGTATCATCACAAAGAATAAAGGTGTCATCCATATATTGGCAATAAAATGAGAATTTTCTGATAAGGCTGTTTAAAGGTGCATTTTATAGTTTACTTAGAAAGAAATCTGCCAAAATGGGACCCAATGGGTAGCCCATCTCCACCCCGTTCACTTGTCTGTAAAGTGTGCCGTCAAATTTGAAATTTACATTCATAGTACACCTTAATAACAATTCTTTCAGGATTTCCGTTGGGATGCCAATATTTATCGAGTAGTTATACACTTGTTCACTTATGTAGTTAACCGTATCTACTACAGGGGTAAATTTATGAATAAAGATGTTATGTCCAAAGATATCATAGTTTTATCCTTGATTTTATTGATCCAAACAACAGAGGCTATCGTGATTTACGTGAAAAGACCAGTGCAGCCAGTCACTACTACCACCCTAACTGGCCTTCAATGGGACTATGAATTCATGAATTTGTATTATTATCATTCTTAATTTCTCTGATATTCAGCGTGTATTGTTATGTTAATGCTATTGAACTAACTGGATCACGATAGCACAAAAATACCAATAATAATTATAAAATCGATAATAATAATAATAATAATAATAATAATAATAGTTTTCTGTCTGATATAAATCCGTGGTCAAACTTGAACCAACATTAGTTAGAGATGGTTGAAAACCAGGGAGCACTGAACACCTGTTTTCTCCCAGTTTTGGAACACTTCAGTAGTGTACACCGACGACGTCACCAGTGATCAAACACGGAACCTTCAAGGTTACAGGACTAAGTATGTTGATAACTCACTCAACCTGGTAGGGTCATATACGTGTGCACTGCGGAAGAGTTCCAAACTATGATGAAACAGATGAGCAGTGCTTCCTAGTTTTCAATGATCTTCAAATTGACGTTGGTTGGTAAAGACACATACACTGAAACTAATCTGAATTCTTGTAAAAAAAACATAATCTAAATAATATTGACGGTATAACAACCCAAGAGCGCGGACGCATCAATGACCCTGAACGCAACTTATTAGTTGGGTAACGGAACCTACTAGTATTGTGGTGCTAGCCAAATCGGTAGACATTAATTTACGTCAATGTTTATGTCCCAAATATTGGTCGTGAGAAAATATGAACAAAGACTGATTCAATAAACAACCACAGCACACTGCGTAGGCGGATACAATTGCAGATAGATATTCTGACTTCAATAAACGGCCACAAAGAGATGAAAGATTAACGTTCAGCGAGAAACACTAATCAGAAGACTGTGTTTGTTTGCTTACAATAATCTATAATAATGTACATGAAAATCTATAAATATCTGTTGATTTCCTAAATAAAGGATCTATTGCTAGGCCCTAGTCTTCTGTCGTTACAGTATCATAGCGCCACTATGAAAAATTGAGGTGCGAATTTCATACTGATCTCGTCTTTAAGTATTCTTTGAATAGTGTGTTGGGGTAAGGGGTTACGATTAGAGTTGGTGTTAGGATTAATGACAAATTAGGGTTGGGATTAAGGGTTAGGAGTTAGGATCACGGTTAGAATTATGATTAGGGTTAGGTTAGGAGGTGGGATAAGGGCTAGAGTCTTTTATTTTTTTATCTGCATTTTTTCTAGTAAACAGATGTTTATCTTCTTACCAGAACGAGTGGCTATATTGAATATCCCCGCTAATTTTAGCGTCATAATCCATCGCTACGGTGATTTTACTGATGTTATTTTTTTGTATGCTTTTTCATTCAAATTCTGCATTAAACAGTTTCTGCTGGCTTAAGTATAATGAGTGGCATTGTATTCTTGAACTGCATTACATTTGCTACACTTTTATCAGAAAATCTGGCTTGATACTGATATCTGTGCAATGTAATCGATTAAAGAGGCAGTAAGTTTAAAAGTTCAATGTATATTATTAAATTTTCATAAAGCCATACTGGTATACTTTGGCCTGTTTATTTAAACGCCCTAACACCCACCCGATAAATGAGGCGCCACTTCAAAAAACGGGTATGCCATACAATCACCCTACTAGAAGCGATGGCTTCTAAGGAAGGACTGAAAAACAGGATATGAAAGGTAAATAAATGGTGCCCAAAAAAGGATTCATCTTCAGTTACCTCGAGAAATACACGTACAAAAAACTGGTCTATCTAAAAACTGATACTTCTAATCCTGTTTAGTGTGTTTTCTCTGTATTTCTTTTGTAAATAAACGTCATTTCTACGTAAAAACCAATGGTTTTTCTGACCGGTCGGCTCAAGGTCAGTCGTGCGTTCGCTTTTCATGGATCGTTACAGTTTAACTTTGCAACGATAATAATGAAAATAATAATAATAGTAATACAGCAACCACCTACCTGTCCTTGCCATCCATTAATTGTCGACAACAGGACATTGATGTCGTATTCCTTGAATTTTCTAAGAATTGCACACCTTTCCTGAATGATTTTGTATAATGAGTTATAAAACAAGAAATTAATAATTAGAGCAGAAGACTATAAGCAAATAAAAACTGATATCATGAAATTGGGTTGCTACGAGCTGTCATTAAAACAAAAAACTATTAAAAAGCAATAGGTTCAAGTTTTCCGGTGAAATTAGAAATTACATTTTCCCTAGGAAACTTAAAATATTTAAATCACAATGTGTAACTGTCTCGGTATATCACAAATAATATTCACAGAAATCAATAAAGGCCGGGCATATAATTTACTGACGAGCCTAGCTCCCAAACGAACCAGCGACACAGTTAACTGATGTCCACATAATCGCATTGATCTGTCTAGCGGGCACTATTACTACTTGACGCGAGCAGTTTTCAGTTACTTATACCAGTATCAGTAGTATATAACATGACACACGAAATATAAGCGTAAAGTTGTCTCTCCTCCAACTACCAACCACTTTGTTATTGAAGACGAAACTTTTAGTCTACTCCACTTATTTTTCCAACTGACAGCTGTTGGCTCGCTCTAAATGTTCTTGTAGGCATCAATCACCACGCCAGAAAGGTTGTTTGAATAGCGGTTATACAAAGAGAAGTCATAATCATAGTGTGAGTCGTTGAAGGTTTGTGGACAATGCCATACAGCTGACGAACAGGGATGTAACAGCACTAAGGTGTTTCCCAGCAGTGCAGCCTCTCTGATTTGAAGACTGTGCATTATCAAATGTCAACTTCAAACACTGTACGTCCCAACTCACCATCTGGACGTCCGTCTCTAATGATAAGATCTTAGTACGGATACAACTCCAGAAAACGACTCAAACAAGCCGTGTGAGTGTGACCGACCCAGACAGTTCTCCCTTTGCTCTGTCGCCACACAACCACAAATAGTTCTTCTGTTTTAGGTAATCCTAGGGGAAACTAACCTCTGTAGTATGAGCAGTCGCGAAGTGATAACTGCCCACAGACTGCCATACTCCCACAAAAAGCTTCTCTGATTATAACTTACACTTACATTTACTTTCATGATGAACTCTAACAATCTACAGCCAGTTCCCTTCATTAGTTTGAATAAAGAAATAACGAACATACTTGCAGGATAAATACGAGTTCGCTTTATTTTGTGGATTCTCTTCAATTTCATACATTCTAAACAAACCCAAATTATAGGTTAAAAAATTTGAGAACACACTTTTCTCACAGTGATGCCTAGTTACAGACAGAAAGTAGAAGTAACAGAAAATGTAAACTAGACAAATTGTTCAGTATTAAAAGACTGACTATTTATAGTATTGCTAGACAAGGTGAGTAGAGTTCAGATTTCTCTTGAAAAAAAAGATAGACTACAATCAAAGTAATTATGCTATGTGCTTTGCACCGTCTAAGTGCAAAGTACTGTTACAAGGTTGGCAGGAGCCTGTACCTGCACTCACTCTTGCAGGTGAACCACCTGAAGTTGTCCATAAGTTTGTGTATCTCGGTAGCTGTGTGGGTGCTGGCGGAGGCATAATGGATGAGATTTCCAACCGTATCATGAAAGCCAGTGTGCCATACGTTAACTTGAGTCACCTCTGGCGCCGTCACGACGTTAGCCTAGCTATCATAGGTCGGGTTTACAGTGTTTCGGTTTGTGTTATCTTGCTCTACGTTTGTGAAACCTTGTTCCTCCCAGCTGAGGATGTGCGGCGGCTCTGCGTATCCGATCATCGCATTTTCCACAGGATAGCTTGCGTTCGATGGATGGCATCATCGCGTCAGTAATTCTGAGGTTCGGCGGCGTGTGTTTGAACACAGGAAGATCACCATTCATTGAGTGTCGTCATCTGGAAACACCGGATTCGGTGGCTTGGACATGTGCTGCGAATGTCATACCAGAGGCTTTCTAACCGGTGATCTCTGTTCGCTAGCCAGCCCTGGGACGGGATGGAAAAGGCGGAAGGGTGGTTAGTCCATGACGTGGCGTCATGGGATGAAGGATGTTTGTGCTAGATTAGCATCGGTTGGTGGGTCGCGACTCCCAGGTTGGGGTCCACCAGATAGCTCGAATCAGTGGCTCGCTTGAAATGTTATCGGATACGGCCAAGAATCGCAGTCATCAATGGTGAACCTGCTGCATTTTCCTTCTTTCTTCCCTTCCCGATGATAGTTGACGAATACTGTTTGAACTTTTTAAGTATGACTGTTTTCCTTCCAGATGAAGCTTTTATTCGTTCTCTACTTATATTTTTTACTTTTGATCTATGTTGTTTTATTATTCCTGTTGTGTGGCGCTAACAGAGTTAATCGATACATATTATGATGGAGAGTCCAGGAGGGTGGGGGTGGGGGTGGGAGTGAATAGTAAAGTGCAATTTTAAGATAGACAGAAAAACAGTTAGATAGATTTAAAAACTCAATAGTGAGTTCAACTCACTCAGTAAGTGAAAATCAAAATCAAAATTGGGTGGAATGTTATGCAACAGAACAAAAGGCAAAACCGCATACACGAACAAAACAATTACAGTTACCAGGGTAGTGAGAAATTATTCACACTATCTTTCTGTATGCATAGATTGGGACGAAGTCTTTAGTTGGCAATAGCTTCTGACCTTGTCTAATTAGTATATAAATAGTTACTCTTTTAACATTGATTAATTCATCTGCTAACATCATTGATATCAGAAGAGAACTTGGGTACTGTGGTAGATTATAACACCATTATGGAGGAAATTTTATTTTGATAAAGTCACACAGTGTTATACAGAAATATTCACTAATGACCACGTTTTGAGCAGTAAATGTAACTGTATAACACTGTGAGACTTTTGACTGGACACTAACTAGTGTCATGCGTGGCACCCATGCCACTTGGTGGCTTGTGATCACGGTACACTCAAGATTTTTTTACTATTAGATGGTTGAAGGCAATCGGCAGGAAGTCTTGGACCTAGATTTCGTGCTTGTTGGCACTGATGGAGCTCATGTATGCAGTAAATAAAGTATTAAACACATGACATTAGTTAGTGTCCAATCAAAAATATCAAATACAGCCCTGTTTTGGAAGTGCTCTTGGAAGTGTGTGAGCGGTTTTCACTTCCTGGCTGCCCACACACCGTGGAAGTTGTTTAATTCTTTGGGTACCTGAAACAGAGAAAGGGTTAGTGTTGCGTAACCGCAGAGCCCAGGGGACAACTGCTTGCGCCAGGCCGGTCACACACGGCCTGAATGAACTGGTTTCTGGGATTGGTTCCGTATTAGTAAACTTACCACCGTAGGGTAAGTCGGGATGGGGTCGAAGTTTTCTAACCCCCTCTCCCCAGAGTAGAGAGAGAGTATAGCTGGCCGGTATGCTGGTCATCTGAGGTAAACACCTCTATGCTGTTACACCCCTGTTCCCCAGCAGTACGACTTCGCCCTCAGACCCCCAGCATAGTATAAGAAAGATTCTTACACTATTGCAGCAACTGCTTTTAGTCTAGTCGTTACCCTAACAACCTTCCTGGCATGGTAGGACCTGCAGGAACAATAGTTCCAGCCAGTGTAGCTTGTTGGGTCATTGCGATGTGCAAGCCCGACCACCACACGTCAAGGTAGCAGCTATAGGTTAGGTAATGCAGTACTACAGGAGGTTAAACGCGTTCCCGGATAGCTTCGTGGTAACATTTCTGACTAACTCCAGCACTACGCGACACGGGTTCGAATCTCAGAAGGGACATGAGTTCCTTCAAGACTGCAGATCCGGCTTGCTGACTGGTGGGTGAGTGCCAACAAGGACGAAACCTAGGTGAGGTAAGGTTTCCTGTCGATTGCCTCCAACCATCTAATAATAACTGTGAGACATTATGAAAATAAAATCTTCTTCATAACGGTGCTTCCAACATTTCTGGAATTCTGATGCTTTCACACTTTCTATCTGTAATTCGAGGTCACTGTAGAATGTTTGTTCAGAAATTTTGTATTTTATAACTGACTTCGTTTAGGATGTACGCAGTTGAAGAGAATTACAGCAAGCACGTATTATCTTGCAAATATGTTCATTCTTTCTTTATTCAATAAGTTAAGCTTCCCAACTGCTTAAAATAAACCACAAAAGTCGTGACCAGTGAGGTTCATCGAGGCATGTGTAAGGATGAATCTCTCATTGATGATACTGTTTGGTGCTCGCACTGAATCACGAACTGGTAGAAGTTAGAATTCATGGACTGGCCATTGAATCGGGTCCCAGTGGCTGAATGGTGTACGAGCTAGCTAGTCTTGTAACCGGAAGATCCTGGTTTCCAACCCTGGTTGTGGTTTTGTATTGCCGATGATTCCCGAAACTAGGATGAAACAGCTGCCCAGTACTCCCAGCTGGTTTTCAATGGTTCTTTAAGTGATATCAGTCCGTGGTCTCACTCAAAAAACAAATCGAATTCTTACGAATCAACTTTTGAAAATTATTATCTGATTTCCATTATTGAATAGAACTTGTTCTTCTTGTTTAAAATTCAAACGTCTTTCACAACATGCCCGACACACATCCTCTCGGTTTCTATGCCTATCAACTCTCAGTCAGATTGTTCCAAATTAAATAGCTTTCTGTCGGAAATTAGTCAGTGGTCCTCTTCAAACGGACTTAAGCTTAATCCGTCTAAATGTCAGGTAGTCAATTTCACTTTCAGACGTAAATGTGACCTACAGCAACTAGTTAGCTCACATGGCCCCACTCTCATTGACGACACAGAGGTTGAAAATACATCTTATGTTAAGTACCTTGGGCTGAGTTTTTCCACCGATCTTTCCTGGTCTTCCCACATCTTGCTAGTTACTAGAAAGATGTTTCGCTTAACGTTCTACATTAGGAAATTTAGGCAGTCTGGCATAAACCAGTCTTTACTTTCTCAGTTTGTAAATTCTTGTATTCTACCCATTCTCCTTTACTGCTCCCCATTAGTCTTTCCTGGACTACTTAAGAAAGACTTTGCTTCGCTGAGAAGGGCACTAAAAGCTGTTAGTAGGGCAAGTGGGTTATCGTTAAACCAACTGGTGAACACTATTGTAGATAGACATATTATGTCATGTAAGAAACTAGCGAATACAATATTGTCGGACCCCAAGCATCCTCTCTATACGTATCTATCTCCTTGCATTTCATCTGGAAGAACTAGAAGCAGCTATAGGAGGCTATATGCTAGGACTACCAAATACAAAAACTCCACAATACCATATCTGGCACAGCTGTTATGTGATGAGAAATCCGTTAGGTATGACACGATAAACTTACTGCGGCACTCTAACAAATAGTCCCATTAGTTTTTGTTTTCCTTTCCTCGTTACTATTACACTGTTGTTCTCATCTAGTACCACACATCAACTTTATATTTCAAATCCTGTGTTGCATTGTTTGAAATGAAATACTCTACGTTGTTTTTTTTTCTTAATTTTTAATATTTATTTGTTTTATTTATTTATAACTAATTTATTTTATTTTTATTTATTTACCTTTGATTTTTAAAAATCTTATATAATTTATGAGGTAATTAGATGCAATATACTGTAATGCACGCTGAAAATTCCATACCTGTACCACAAATACTGTTTGGAATAAAGCTATTATTATTATTATTATTATTAAACCACTGAATTCAATGTTTCAAGGCCTTGTTGTACATTGGAATGAAGTTCGGCGTCATTTTTGAAGACACTATCGGACCTTAACTATGTCATCTTGTCGTTGAATAGAGGAAGCTAATTTCCGGCGATAGGAATGAAAAAAGAATATTGAAGAGGTTAGGTTTCAAGATGGTAGGGGAGAATCCACCTCACTGCAGCTTTCAGACCCTATATACTTCATGTTGTCTAGCTAAGTGTCAAGAGGACACTGGATGATAATAATCACTTTGGTACATTGCTCCTTCCATTTTTGACATACTACTGTTAAACCTTTAACAGTACTCACACAACCAATCAAAAACGTGGATCCTTTGACTACGCGTAGGTGGTGGATGAACTGGCTTTTGCTGTTACATCATAGCGAATGGTAGTATCATTACTTAAAGAAACTTTAACAATATAGTGATTCGATTCTTACGGTGGAGAACCGTTTTTTCTAGATCTATACTTATTGGCGCTAATCAGAAAAGCATATTTTAAACCTCAGAAAACTCGAAAATTGGTCTTACATCATGAGACTAGCAGCACTGGCAATTGGATATTACATCGGTGAATAAAACCCATACCTATTCAAATAAACTTAATACATACACACACGCACGTGCGCAGCAGCCATGCATAAATTTACACATTACCACCACCAAACAACCACATGTATGGTATTCCTATCAAATACTGACCAAGAGGCAGTAATACTAAACATTCACAACACATAAGTAAATAGTAGAACTCACAGCTATTTCACCATAAACATGCATTGCACGGAGAATATCGACGCGATCAATATGTGGTTCCTGGAGAGAATGGTGAAAAAAATTTAAAAAATAATCTAAATAATACTATCGTCAGATGATAAATGCATTTAAATTTCTGCTTTATGATTCCAATTATTTTTTTCACATCCACACATCACACACATATACACACTACACTCTTGACGAAACACTCCCAAGCCAAAAGCTTAACTAAGGTGAGAATAAAGACGCATGACTGACTTATCAACGTATACCTTAGCACACAGAAATGCATCAATTTCAATTGCCAAGAATTGTAATGAAACTACAATACATGGACGAGGATGGTACTATGAAAGGATATTCAAACGAAGATTAATGACGACTGTCATCATTTTCTTACCTTCGTCTCGGTCAAATTGTCAACCAATCAGAATATTTATTTTTCGTTGACCTAACCGAATCGTCTATCCATCAGAACAATCTATTTCGATTGCCCTGGGCAGATTTTAATGTGGCTAAAAATACATATATATGCGATGTCTTTTCCTAGTAGAAATTGGATCCTAACAGTCAAAGGCCAGTCCTTGTCTTTAGATATTTATGTGGCTCAGTGAAGAGGAAGGTACCACGGACAAATAGGCGTATTTAGCATATCAGTCCAGTTGTCCATCGCGTTAGTATTGTCTGTCTGTTTTCGACATAGAACTTTGCACCGATGTGCAGCAGTTCAAGTCGCCACACTCCATGTAGCACACAAAGCAAGAGAAGAAAGTAGAAAAAATGCGTAATAGGGACAGTAAACAGAGGTGTGAGACAAAGGAATAGTAGTAACGAAGAACAATGTGGTTTCATTGGAAATCATAAGTCACAAAGAATGGATGCATCTGCACCAGCCATTGAGAACGATCACTTTGAGCCATATCACCAATTGTTTCCAACCATTGGCTTTTACCGTTCCGAGGACGCCAAAGAGTCAGGAGGTCTACACCTTCCTACCTCACTGTCTTAAACTAACTGTTGTAGATTTCATTGACTGATGCCATGTTTTGGTTTGACCGCCAGAATGACCCTATATCAGCTAACATTGCCGATTGTCGTGGAAGGCAATATCTAGACATACGTAATACATGTCCTAACCATCTCAGTCGATGTAATTTCACAGCCTCGTCGATTGATTTCCCCTCCCACCTACCTAGGGCTCGACGCCTAACCTCAATATTGCTCACCTTATTATACCACTTCACACGGGAAATAGAACGCAGGCACCTATGATCAAAGACAGCTAGTCTTTTCATGTCTTCCACTCTCAGTGGCCAGGTCTCTCTCACAGCCATAAAGGAGGACGGAGCGGACTGATGAGCAGTACACCCGCCCTTTGGTCGATAGCCGGATATCACGTCTACTAAGCCAGAGACGGGGTAAACTGGCATATGCGAAACTAGCCCTCTGTATCCGTACTGAGATTTCGTCAGAGATCAACCCGTTGGGGCTGATGGTACTTCCCAAAGTTAGTATTATTATTCATGAATAATCCCCATCCAGACATTAATTGTAACAAAACACGTGTAGTTCAGCGAATAGTCTCTTTTCGGCGGCGAATTCATTCAATTTGATGTACAATCGCAATTATATATAATTATTTTTCCATGTGTGTACATGAGGTACACTAGACAGGAATAAAAACTAGTTAGGGTTATTATTGTATAGATATTTGAAAAATGTGATGAATAATCAAGATGTAACTGGGTGTGGGGGTGTGGAGATTAGTAAGAGGGTAGTGGAAATGCGTTGTCAAAAAAAACATGTTAATCAACACATACAAGAAAGAGAATAAACGTAATAAAGTTATGTAATAAGATGAATAATTCAGTGAGTGAGCTGCGATTAGGATGAACATAGAAACGAAGGAAAATCTGGAATTATGTAAGAATTGTGAAGAAATACAAGCGTCATAAGGAGTTAGAAGAGTAGGTACACAATCATCAAGTCAGTAGGAATCAACACGGTTGTTACCATGATAGTAGAAGTGGTTGGATAATTTCCCTTTATGTACATAACTCTAGTTTCTTCAGCTGAATGGTTGACTAAGGCTTCAGCATCCTAATCACAACTCACTCATTAAACTATTCATCTTATTACATAACTGTATTAAGCCTATTCAACTTCTTTGATTTTATGGAGGATTTAATCATGAGCTGATATCAGTTAGAGAACCACTGGAAAACCTGGGAGTACTGGACAGCTGTTTCCTCTGTCCTAGTTTGGGAATCATCGTCAGTACGCACCCACTGGGTTTCGGACCTAGGACCTTCCGGTTACAAGGCAACCTTGCATTCAATGACCAATGAACGCTTACTTATTTTATGTGTTGACTAACATTAATAACCATGTTTCTTCACAACGAATCAATACTACCCTCTTACCAGTCTTCACACACCCCCACCGCCAGTTACAATTTGATTATTCATCACATTTTTCAAATATCTTTACAACAATAACCCTAACTAGTTTCTACTCTTGTCTGGTGTACCTAATGTACATACATGGAAAAATAATTATATGTAATTACGATTGTACATCAAAGTGAGTGAATTCACCGCCGGAAAGAGATTATTCGCTTAACTACACTTGTTTTGTTGCCAGTATTATTATCATACGCACACATAAACCCACTCCACGAATACCAACTATCGACGAGGTCATAACAATTACTGAGTATGAGTTAAAGAAGTTGATGTTAAAAGCCAGCCAACCAACGGTCCACACATTATACAATAAATATTAAAGGGAAAGATGGAGTATACTTAAGTCTCTAGTTTTCCATCTTTTAAGAAACAAAGCTGAAAAACCACTTCAGTAGTATGGTAGCAGATTTAATTAATATACACACTCCTGTTTATCAAGATTAATTCACATCAGATCGGAACTAACCACCTTATAGCACACATCCACTAATAGACACACTCAACAACAATGAGAAAGCATTTACATTTCATTATGAAGAGTCTCCACAAACTCCATTATGGGTAAGAAATGAAACACATAGAAGAAGAGGCGTTGGTGTTAAATAACTAACTATCCTATAAAATTTATTAGGAAGATCAGAAAAGGTCAAAAGCTAAAAAAAATAATGGTGAAACTAATGAGGATAACATAAACAGGAAAGAACATAAGGCATCTACCTGCAGTTTTACTACATAAGGAGGGGATATCTGAGACTCTCTCCACGTACGATTCTCAATAAGGCAGGAATTAGGCTGGCATTTAAACCTACACACTCACTCAGGTAGGGCAAGCTCTGTAGGCTAAAGGATCCAGTGGACCCAATTAAACAAAATAATATAATTTACAAAATACCCTGCCATGACTGTGATTGAGGTCAACTACATAGGTCAAACTAGTAGGTCAGGGATAATCAGATTATCAGAACATAAGAATTTAGCTAAGGTAAGAATGGTTGACCCTGAAAAGATAAGTAATTTAGAAAAAAGCTCAGCTATTGCACTGAATGCATTGACACACAACCACACAATAGGCTGGGATGGACAGAATCAAAATTCTAAAGAGTAATATAGGTAGCTGGAGAGCGTGATTGATTACTGAACCCTGGTTCATCAAGTCTACACCCAACACGTGCAACAGAAATGACTCAGTGCAAATACCAGAGATATGGAAGATGTTATTACCAATCGAATCAGAAGATAATAAGTAATCTTAAAATTTATTTCGATTCACTAGTAGTGCCTTGATATGATGATTATGACTAGCAATACATTGTGCTCGAAACGTGGTCATCAGTTAATATCAGTGTATAACAACACTGTGTGACGCTTTATCAAGATAAAATCTTATCCATAATGGAGTTATACTCTACCACAGTGCCCAAGTTTTATACTAATATCAATAATACATAGTGTCCACAAACACCTACACCTGTATCACTGTGTAAAAAAGTAAACTCTTGAAGAGTGCACAAAAGGGTTTAAGAATAAAATTCTCTCCAGTCAAATTCAACAGAGACCTTTACACTTCATGTTTGTCATCGATTAAAACTTATGAATAGAAAACAAGGCATTTAACATTCTTTCTAATTTGTACTGATGTCTAACATGACAGCAGAATGTTTGCTAACCACCAATTCAACTCAGGAAACAAGCTGACTCCAACTAATTCCACTATATAAATGACTGAATAGCTAAGACAAATGAAATTAAATGTTATTCAACAGATAGTTAGCATTGAGAAGGTGAGTCGGTGGTTCAGTGGTAAAATGCTTGCTTAACCACTTACATAATCCGGCGGTTCAAATCCTGGCTAACGCACTCCTAAGCCTTGCTAAACCGGTTGAGAGCCCGGTAAAGAGGGAAGGTTGGGCGTGAGACTAGCAGCTCTACTCCATAAAAATGATACCACTGCTACTGAAACTTTAAGGCCGAATCTGGAAGCCCTCTATGTTCCACTGAGAACTGAAAGGAATAAAAATATAGCAATGAGAAGCATCTATTGAACGGAGGGCAGTGATACTACTACCTATTTGTCAATACTTCGGTATATGGTGTGGAGTTGAAGCCTGGCAACTAAGCGGTTGAAAATCACAAGTATCTAAACCCATAAGCCACACCACACACAGTCTCTGTAAATTATCACATATAAAAAACTAATAATAGTAATGCATAGCATACCTCTAAGTATCGCTCCATCTCCTTTAATAGCAAAGGATACCGACCCAAGCGTTCAAACACTAAAGTGAGCTGTTGTTTACAATGGTGTGATTGAAAGTTAATGTTGAATGACGCCATATGCTGCGTAACTTCTGAGCTACATAAATAAGTAAAGATATCAAAGCAAGAAATCAATACGAGATAGTATAGAAAAAAACATTCAAATCAAGATAAACGTTTAATTTAAATGATTGGACCAAAGTGCTCGGTCTCAGGCCGACATGTCGACTTCTTGTGCAGATGCTTCGACGATGTCTGGCCATGTAACTTGAAGTCAAATGGTTGACATCGACTAGCAGTGGAATCCAGGATAACGCGCATTTCGTTCTATTTGGGACTGACTTGTCAACTGGAGGTACCTGCACTCCCCCCCCCGTGAGTGACGGTGTTCTCATCGAAGCTTGAACCCAGTAGCCATAGATTCAAAGGCCAAAGTGTTATCCACTAGAGCACTTGGGCTACGAGAGCCACCTCTTGTGCAGCAGATCTCGGTGGGAACACCATCAGTTACTGAGGAATGCAGGTACATCCAGTCGAGGAGTTCCAAATAGGACGCATCCTGGACTCCACTGCTAGTCACCATGATCCAAAATTTGGTGTGCAAGAGGTCGAAATGAAAAGATGACGATGATGAAATACAATGAGTAGAACTCATAAGGTCAAGAAAAATTATCTTTTATGGATGTCAAACAAAAAAATGATAAGTTAATGAAGTGAAGAAACAAAGAACTAAACAAGGGATGAGTCACCAGAGTAATTGAAGTCCAACAACAGATTCCTTTTCCATACATATGTACCTAAGTGTAGCCTAACAGGATAGGAAACTCAAGGCGTACGGAGCTAAGATTGAATAATCTCAGCAGTATGATTTGAAGCAACTGTTGCATTTTAAAGCACTGTACACCAAACACTCTCTGAATCTTCCTCTATCAGGGTTTTTATGATATAAACATTATTGTCTTCTCATCTGTTCGCTATGACAACTTGGGTTGTGGTAGGAGTGATTTAAACCGACTGTTTGCAGCTGTGACCCAAAGTGAAGTGTGACTTAAATGCTTGTCTTAATTTTCACCATTATTCCGTTATTTACAAAGGATAAGTATTCGATATATACATATAAACCTTCCCGAAGCCTTGGTCCTGATGGTGTACCTGCCATTGTCCTCAGGAACTGTACTGATATTTTATGTTACTCTCTTACTAACATTTTTAATGCTTCTTTTTCCGGTAACGTTCTATCCTTTGCATGGAAAAACATTAAAATTATCCCTATACCAAAACCATCTTCTGGTACTGATATTAAATTTAGACCTGTTGCAATTACTTCTCCTTTTTTAAAATTGATGAAAAAATTACTTTTACTTAGCCTTGAACCTTCATTGAAACCTTTTAATGACCCTAAACAATTTGCTTACAAACACGGTAGAATTACCTTGGATGCTGCGGTTGTCTCACATCACAATGTTGTTTTTTGTTTAGACAAAGGTGCAAAATATGTTTCTAGTGCTTTCCTAGACTACACATCTGCTTTTGACTCTGTACCTAGGGACCTTTTATTAAATAAGCTTTCGTTGACACAAACAGGATCCTGGGCTAAGAGTTGGTTGCATTCCTATTTTTCTGATAGAATGCAGTATACTGTATATAACGGCAAATCTTCTTATACCTCACTTACAAAATCCGGCGTTCCACAAGGTGCTGACCTCTCTCCTTTTCTTTTTTCTTCCTTCCTACATGACCTGTCTCATTCAAACGAAACTAACTTTGTCAAATATGCGGATGATCTGACTGTATCACTGCCTATCACTTCCGAGTCTGACTGCTCTAAACTTAATAGCTTTCTGTTGGACATCAGCAAGTGGTCTTATGTTAAATCCTTCCAAATGTCAGGCAGTTAACTTTACTTTCAAGCATCAACGTGACATACATGAACTAGTTAGTTCCCATGATGCCTGTAGCATAGATGGCACTGAAATTGGAACCAAGTCAAGCATTAAATACCTTGGATTAGTTCTTTCCTCTGACCTTTCATGGTCATCCCACATCTTATCAAACTCTAAGAAAATATTTCGTCTTACCTTCTACATTAACAAGTTAAGACAATCAGGTACCAACCAACCTTTACTTCTGCAGTATGTAAACTCCTGTATTTTACTGTTTGTACTCTATTGCTCTCCATTTGATCATAGGTGCCTGCGTTCTATTTCCCGTGTAAAGTGGCATAATAAGGTGAGCAACATGGAGGTTAGGCGTAGAGTTCTAGGTAAACAGGGGAAATCAATCGATGAAGTCGTGAAGCTACAAAGACTGAGATGGTTAGGACATGTGTTACGTATGCCAAGCCATCGCCTCCCTCGACGAGCTATGTTAGCGGATATAGGGTCAGGCTGGAAAAAAGCTAGCGGCGGTCAAACAAAAACTTGGCATCAGTCAATGAAATCCACAACAGTTGGTCTAAGCCACGTAGAAAGGTGTAGACTTCCAGGCTGGGGTCCTTGGGACGGTAAAAATCTATGGTTGGAAACAATTGGTGACATGGCTCAAAACCGATCTCAGTGGCGCAGATGCATCACTCCCTGTGACTTATGATCTTCAATGAAACTGTTTTGTATTTCTTTATTACTCCTTTGTCTCACACCTCTGCTCACTGTTTCTGTTATGCTTTTCTTGTACTTTCTTCTCTTGCTTCGCGTGCTACACGGAATGTGGCGACTTGAACTTCCGCACATTTGTGCAAAGTTCTATGTCGAAAACAGACAGACAGACAGACAGATTGCTCTCCATTAATCTTTCCTGGGCTTCTCAAAAAAGACTATATCATATTATGAAGGGTATTAAATGCTGTGAGTAGGGCTTATAGTATGCCACAATATGCGTGAGCTCGTCAATATTATATTCGAGAGACATATAACATCCTGTGCAAAATGGACAGAGGCCGTACTGTCAGACACCCTGCACCGCCCCCCCTTTATTCACAACTATCCCCTTGCATTTCATCAGGTAGGACGAGAAGTCAATATAAGAAGTTATATGCTCGCACCATTGAGTACAAAAATTCTACAATACCCTATTTATCCCGTATTTTATGTGATGGAGACACTGTGAGACGTGAAACATATAAGTTACTATGTAATTAGCAAAGTAAATCGACCCTGTCATCAGTCATCTTTCTGTAATTTTATGATGTCACCCTTTCTATCGTTTAATTATAACTTTGCTATTTTATTTTAGTTATTACTTTTATTACTACAATTTTATACTTTATGCATATTTTTCTGCTTACCGCATACTGTAATTGCTACATAGATGTTATAACAACGTTTTATTATTATTATTATTATGTAATGTTTATTTTTTTGTCGTTTTTGAGTAAATTAGATGCAATATTCTACTGAATGCTGAAAATTCCTTGCTGTGTCATTAGTACTGTTTTTGGAATAAAGCAAAATTACTATTACTACTATTATTATTGTCTGTTATCAAAGGATACTGGAAGCAACAACTTACTTATGCTCTTCTAATCCTGTTATTATATGTAAATATATTTTTGAATAATCACAACCAACAGCGTTGATGGCTGGAGCGAATTCCAGAAACAATCGACCAATACACTTCGGTCCATGTAAGCTGCCATATAAAAGTTAGTTTAGGTGATAAACACCCACACACACACAAACACCCACTTACCATTTCATTTCATTCAATGCTGAAGCTAAATGTTGATGTATCCTAATTGCCTGTTGTAATAAATCTTTTAAATGAATAAGTTTGTTTAAAAAGGATCTATAAGAGGGGAGGTTATTCAGTAAGTCAATAGAAATACTCACAAATGGAGTAGAGGCTCTAAAGGAACCATAAAAATTGATAATAGTTGAGATAGCTCATTGATTTGTCTTAATTCACCTTCAAGTATATGTTGTATAATCTAGAGTGGGGGGGAAGGTGAGAAAAAAGAAAATCAATAGAGAATATATCCACTCACTTCATTCTGAAAGTTCTGTAGATGAATTAACAAACCATCATCAACCATGACTTGGTCATCTTTCTCGTCTATAAAGAAGGTAGTAAGGAGTTAACAGTGCATACCTGTAGTAATAGGAGTAGAAGTAGTAGTAAGAGTGACATAATTGCTTGGAAACCATCCAACAACTCCATTTAAACTGCCTTCCCACCAACCACCTTCTAATTGCTGTTTCACTGTTATCACATCACCTTTTTTGAAGGAGAGCTACCAAAAGGAGAAATAAAAGGTATAATTCAGTTGAAATTGACATTAGCTTTGTTAAATATGCTGACGACCTGACTGTTATTTACCTGTCAAATGTCAAAGTGACTGCTCTATAATAAATGGCTTTTTATCAGAAATCAGCCAGTGGTCCAAGGAAAACGGTCTAACCTTAAACTCCTCTGAATGTCAAACAGTCAATTTCACCCTTAGGCATAAATCTGACCTAAACAAACTGGTTGGCACTCATGAGGTGTGCAACATAGATGGCACTAAAATAGAACGAAGTCGGAAATTAAATAACTTGGCGTCATTCTATCTGCTGATCTTTCCTGGTCGTCTCATATCTTGATGATTTCTAAGAAGTTAAGACATTAATGGAATAACTCAACCCTTACTCCTACAAGACGTTAACTCTTGCATCCTGCCTATTACTCTCTATTGTCCCCTCTTAGTTTTGCCAGGGCCACTGAAAAAAGACTATACCTTATTACGCAGGATGTTAAAGGTTGTCAGCAGGGTAAGCAACGTGCCACTCAACCAGCTTGTTAATATTCTGGTTGACAGACACTTGGACTCATGTGAAAAATGGACAAAATCCATTTTATCTAACTCACACCACCCTCTACATTCACAACTCTCCCCTTGTATCTCATCAGGCAGGCAGACCAGAAGCCTATATAGAAAACTATATGCCCGCACTAGCAAGTACAAAAACTCAACCATACCCTACTCAGCTAGTGTTCTGTGTGATAAAGAAAGCATTAGGCGTGGTACCTATAACTTATTAAATAGTCAGCAGAACAACTGGATCTCGTCTTTCCAACTCATAGGTACAACATTTTCTTTCTTTTACTTTTCTCTGTTATGTGCTGCTTTGTTTCTTTCTTCTGCTTATACCAGTGAATATGCTAACATCTACATTTTCTAACACCCAAATACTCTGTTCAGTTTTCGGCTTTGCTACCTATATGCTAATATGTGGTTGTCAAAACTAACTGAGATTACCCTTATTCTAATTAGAATTTTATTTATTGTTAATGTACCAACTGGATGCAATACTGTGTGTAGTGAAATGCTGAGAATTCCATTCTGTATCACAAGTACTGTTTTGGAATAAAACAAATTATTATTATTATTTTAAAAAATTTAGGCAATGATTGTAGAACTCAGAATTACTGGTTGATCTATCCGCTGTTTTAATGTTAACAGAACTTTCACAAACATTAGTAGAAGTGGAAACGTTTAATTCTCGACACGAATTTAAAAGAGGCAACAAAGATGAATATATATAGACAGGATTTAATGAATTCATCAAATTTTGGCAGGACTCTTCCTCAGCTTGAATATTCTAAGCACAAGGACTGGAATTACATTGGGGGATATAAGACTGATAAGCAAATAAACTACATTGAATGAATCAGACAGAATCATAGGTGTGAATGTTTTTCAGACTGGTCATGTTCAAATAGATAAGGGGAGAGGGAGTATGAGAGATTAAAATTAAGATAAAATGCATTAAATATCAATGAAATAAACAATTAGCCATCAGAGAAAGAACTTAAATATATCGAGAATTACATAAACGAATAATAGTGGTAATAATGACTGATTGATTGACTGGTTTCAACATAGAACTTTGCACAAGTAGGCAGCACTTCAAGCTGCCAAAATTGATAATAATATTTATCGTGATGACAGTAAAAACAATAATAACGTTAAAGCGAGTTAAGACAAAGGTACTGATAAAGGACAGTTTTTAAATGAATCAAGAATAATAATGAGGTAGAATAAAATACTACTAATAATATCAGTTAATAAGATAAGTAAACCATATTACCATGGTAGATTCAGAGTGACTACTATTTCCTTTTGTACACAAAAACCTGGTTTATAAACTCGAATTTCACAAGTCTCCGCTATTGCTAGCATCTTCCTGATTGACGCTGACTGACTTGGCACTTTGAATGCAGCTGTTTTCCACCATTTTGGCAAATGCTCCAACATACGAATAGACAATCGCCTTTCTGTACAGTCTAAATCTTTGCTTCCACAAACATACTCAAATTGATATACGCAGTCTGAAGGGTCGAGGACTGGTAACTGGTCTTTCTCAGATTGTTGAAGCACCCGCTAGGCGGTGTTAAGGAAGACAAGTTTTGCGGCATAATAAGTTCTCTTGAGCGCTTTATCGAATCTTCATTTGACTACGTCTTGTACGTCATCTCCCTTAAATGGTAAATTGATATATACGGCTTTCTATGAAACTCTTTGGATAGTTTTCGTGAGGCTTGTTTCTTTAAAGTACTTATTGATGAACCTCTCACTTCAGGATATCAATTCTTAGATAAAATATTCTCCTAAGTCTTTATTTAATATTCAACTGTACTATCATAACAAATTTTGCGTGCTTTATTAAACCATTTTCTGACTAAGTCCTTTTTATATTGGATCGGAATAAAAATTTTAAAATGTATGTATTGTCCCGTCTATGAAGACTTTCTAAATATAGGTCTTTCGATTGTGCCATCAGTTCTTTTCGCTAAAGAATTTAGTGGCGTAATTCTCCTGGTGTTTTATTCTGAAGTCAAGATTCGGATGACATGCGTTGAATTTTGTCAATGGGTCTTCAGCTTTTATTTGTTTTCACTGACAATAAAAGTATCACCAACATATCTTAGATATCATTACGTTTGTTGTATATGCTCTGTTGCAGACTACTGGCTTCTAGGCCCTACAAGAATAAATCTGTAAAAAAATGGTCGTAAGGAGCTTTCCATTGCAACACCATCAACTTGACAGAATAGGCGCCCATCGAATTGTAATTGCACATCATTGGTACATTAAAGCAACAATATCCATTTTCACAGAGAGCTCTCTTGCCCTCCTATATCACACGTAGCTTGTTAACGTTATCACTGATAATTTCGATCCCATTCAGCATTTCACTCTGTCCTCCTTTATGGTTGTGAGGCATGGTAGTCTTTGAAAGTGGGAGACATGAAAAGGCTATCTGTCTTTGTTATCAAGGTATTATTAAATTAATAATTACCACTAAAGAAAAATTTCATATGACAATAATCATGATGTGATGTTCGACTCGTCTTCAATGGATTTCTGTTAACATTTATAAATCTGACACACTAAACAAGCTACGCAATTCACGTAATATGTATGCATGTCAGGAAAAACTGATCTCAAATTCTACTTATAGGTAAAAGCCGTTGAGTTCACTATGTATAAGGAATGCTATACAACGTAACACCAACCTGAGAAACATACGATGAATAGAAAATGAGTAGTCATCAAGCAATGAAAAGCCTCCGTCTACTTTTATGCACTATTACGTCACTTCATGAAATTGTATCAGCTTCGACTGTCTGGTTAATGAGGAAATCTGAGAATGGATATATAAAGCTTATTCAGTATTTGCTATGATTCATAACTTTGATCACCAAAGTAGATTCATCAACCACGTCTCGAAGATTGTGCATATCGTACATCAATTTCCTATGTGCTGCTTTAAAACTGAAACTAACATGCTCTCACTCACATGTATTTGTTCAGTTGCCCGCGCTAAGTATGACAAGGTGTTAATTAGCGCATTAAGGCGTAGTGTTAGATAGTGAAAGTAAGTTCTTCAGTAAGGCTGTGTACTCAGGCAGATTTATTCGAAAAGCAATGTTGGCTATATTGTTCCTGCAGCTTTATTGATTGACAGACTGTGACCCTGATGATGAAATCAAACCGCTTACATTAGCGTAGATGGATTCGTTTCTAATAAATATTAGTTAGAGCGTAACTTAACCCTTATCAAAATATTACCTCTTCCACACTTATGTACGTCCACTGTAGTATTAATAAGTTTCTACTTCTTTCACGAAGACTACTATTTCGAAGAGTGGCGACCCAGACTGAGATACAACTTTGCGAAAGTTTATGCTGATTATTTATCTGTAGCAATTTCTTGTAGGGATTTTGAGTACATAACTGCAAGTTCGCACTAATACTGTGATGGTGTAATACAGACAATGTGTAGCAATGGAATATTATTTTCACATATTCCCACGATTCAATTCGGTATTAGCAACAGAATACAATAGATCTATTTGAACATTCTATTTGGTGTTACAGACAGAATACTGTGCGTCGGTGGCACAGTGGTTAGGACTCTCACCGACCATGCACATGGTCCGAGGTTCGATACCCTGCCGACGCACACTTGATATCTATGGTCGGCCTGCTAAATTTGGGCTACCGATATCCATGCTGAAAATTCCATACTTGTACCAAAAATACAGTATAGAATCAAGCTGTAAATCAAAAATATAAAAAAATTAAAGAATACTTTTCCCACAGCTAAATACTGCATTAGCAACAGAATACCATGTATATTTGAACATTCTATTTCATGTCGTCTGATTTAAACCGACATCACAAGCTCAGTGATTGGTTAAAGAATATAAATTGTATGTGCATAAACCTTAACTACAGCATTGCACTGATTAAATAAGTGAGTTTCAACATAGAAATCTGCACAGAATTGATACAGCAATTCAGATTGTCACAATCCACTGAGCACACAAAATTAAGGGAAAGAAACTCGAAAAAGAAAACTATAATGAGCAGAAATATCTATCTGTCTGTCTGTCTGTTTTCGACATAGAACTGTGCACAAATGTGCGGAAGTTCAAGTCGCCACATTCCGTGTAGCACGCGAAGCAAGAGAAGAAAGTACAAGAAAAGCATAATAGAAACAGTGAGCAGAGATGTGAGACAAAGGAGTAATAATGAAATACAAAACAGTTTCATTGAAGATCATAAGTCACAGGGAGTGGATGCATCCGCGCCTGCTACTGAGAACGATTTTGAGCCATGTCACCAATTGTTTCCAACCATAGATTTTTACCGTCCCGAGCAGAAATATACAGCAGAAAGAATAGTAACATGGAAAAACATGGGGATTTAATAAAGTGGTAAAATACATGGAGTGAATGCATCTGCGCCACCAAGAAAACAAATAAATCATCGCATACAAAAAGCTCCTTACTGTGCCCAGTGGCTCCGTGGGAATTTATTAGATACTCCACTATACGACCTCACTAAAATACAAAGACTGGCTTGAAGGTAACCAGGAAACTGGCATTTGAGCAAACTACGACACGGATATATAATCGAAAGCAGGTAACAACCTATCTAGGGATTCCTTCAAAATGAAGCCATATCTTAAGACACCCCCAATATGGACTGAAGTTTTAGAAGCACTCAAGTGTTACGCGGAGGTAAATTACAGAAAACTAATTCCATTATTAACTGCCGATACGTTAGATTATTATTGTTCCCTTAGGTTCCGGATGAGACACAGGGTTGTTATAGCACATCAACATTCCATCCTGTTTTTGCAGCTGTCCTTAACTACCTCCAGGATTATATATAAGCTTTCAAATTTTGTGTTACTTGGTGAGCTTGTGTACACGAAGCACTATACCCTCTACCTGAAGAGATTTTCCGACCACGTGTATGAAATTTCAAAACAAGTGGTCTCAGAAAAACACCGGAGTTAAACCATAGCAGCCAAACTCATCAGTGACCGTAAACTACTAATCAGAACAGAGGAACAATACAAGTTGCAAAACTTTTAAAAAATATCATGTTTTCCTGAAATACGCTCATCTTTCCAATTTTTTAGTCTACCTGAAAATATAACTCCTACAAATAATTAGTCACCACTCATCACCGTATATGCATGCATTTATAAGTCAAATCTTAGAATAATTCACACAGTAATAAAACGTTCAATCTGCCTAGGATGAACAGACATACTTGAGACAATATTTTGGTATAAGTGAAGTAAAAATGCTGAAAAATTAAACTTTTGTCTCTAGACAACAGCGGTGACAAAATAGTGTACTGATTTCGCTGAAAAAATTATCATTATAGAATAACATATGCACTCAACAAATGTTATGACCATTATAAATGACTAACCTCATCTGTGTGCTGACGATTGTAATCGTAAAGGGCACATACGAGTAACGGTTTTTGAGGCATGCGTAAAAATTACATCATGTACACAAATAATGGGTCAATTCAAGAAGTTTGATCCCGAAGTAAAGTAACGTCCAGCTCAGAATAACCGCCTGTTCTGTGTTTGAATCGATGGGTTTTTTTAGAAGATATAGGATTTTAAGGGACTTGAATAAGATAAATTGATCTTTGTCAGTGGAATAAAGCCCATTTTTCTCTGATGGTCTAGGCAGATGCTTCGTGGAGTTAATTCTCCGGTGTGCAAAACCACTGTTTCGTTGATGACAGTAGATAACAGCTGGTGGACAGAGTCTCTGCTTCTGGTCCTACTAAGGATTCGTTCTACACTTGAGGTGGATCTTCATTGAACCTCATCCGAGTTGGTATATGGCACCACCCTCCGTTTATCAAGTGAGATTATCGCTCCTGAAAATTTTGAGCCAAACGTCACTGATGTCAGCTGTTATGCCCAGGGTCTTAAATGCTTTATGCGGTGAATTCGACCAATTTTCACTCGCATTCAAAACATGAAAGTACACGTAGATACTCAGATCGATGACGCTGTGCGTACATACCTACCAACTCCATATGACGGACCTTTCAAAGTCCTTAGTCGGAAAGAAAACTTTTTCATTATTGAGCGGCTTGGCCGCCAGTACACTGTAAGCATCGACAGACTCAAAGAGGCATACATTGAAGAAACCCTACTCTCCACGTCCGCCCCCCGAACATCTTCACTGAAACTATTCCCAGGCCAGATTCCACGACTGGACCTCCAGTGGCTAATGATAATTCTATCTTGGACCTTCTATATATATTTCTTCCTGTTTACGCAGGAACATACCAGTTGTACAGGCATGGATAAGTTGTTATATAAATTGTACATAATTTGATGTATGATGAATTTACAGTTTGGTTGTTCTTTCTGACATTAGAGTCAGTCGGAACAGTCTGCTATAAAGTCTGTTTGTGCAGCACATAAAGAGATATAGAGATATTGTCTTCGCATTAACAAAAAACCCAGACATCAGATGAATGTAATACAGATATCTGGGAAAAATAAAGCTTGAAGTCAATTCTCTTACATAACTTTGTTGTGAACAGCACCCTTGGCTTAAAGTTTATTGATGTATTATGTTGAGATCAGTGATATATTTATTCCATTTTTCAGCAGTCTTATCGTAGTTTTATAACAGGAAAGAAATTTGATCGTGGATACGAAAACTAGATAAGGTCATGTTAAGTTGTTTTACTGCATCAAATGGTGCCGAGGTCGATTCCAGAATTCTCCATTTGCTCCATTTGTGTCTGCATGGCGGACTGTATTCGTAAGTTGAGTAAAATGTTGAAAACTGTTTGAAAACCAGTTGCTTCTTCATTTCAGATCATGAATACTCATTTACAGCATGTTCGCCAGCGTCTTCAAATGGTAGAATTGGATCGTTCATGGAATTTGAGTGGTTATGAGATAGATGGTTTGGAATTAATCCTCATTTCAGTTTAGATGCAGGGTTGTTCAACCTCGACCAGAAGATGAATAGGAGTAGCAGAGTACCAAAAACAGAAAGTATGTGAACATGAAAAGGACATTAATATTTTATGCACTTATAAATGTTTATGTCAATTGTATACTATACATTAGTAAAAATTTATCTTTATTTTAGTTGTCTTTTCACGAATTTATGCGAAGTCTTAGGGTTTATTTAGTGTCATGATGTGTATTAATGAGTCTGAGCGTTTTAGTGTTCTAATGACTGATGCGTTTTAGAAATAAGTGATGGGTTTTGGTAGGGATAGTCTTTGGGATAAAACAGTTTATATAGCAAGCGTTTGAAGGTTACAGTAAAGTGACACGTCCTATTTCTAAGGGTAAACTAATCCTGTATGTTCCGTACTCAGTCTTTATGCATCCATGCTGCTAGTCTATTTATAGTTTTTAGATTGCTAAGGGTGTTGAAGTGCGTCTTTTAGGTGCTGTAGTAGATTAGTGATTGATTCGTTCTAGGAGTAAATAGTTTATTAATATAATCAGTAGAGTGAAACAGTTTGTACAGAGAGCGTTTGAAGCTTGTAACCGAAGAGCAAGTTCTGATATCTAGGGGTAGGCTATTCCATATTTTAGAATACATGACTGTGAAGAAGTTTTCACGGAGTGTTGACTTAAAAGAATGAGTTGCCACTGTGGAAGTTTGGTTACGCAGATCGTAAGAACCTTCCTGTGCGAATTGTATGTCCCTGTTACCTGAGAATGATATTTTGTGAAGGACCTTAAAGAAGAATATTAGGTTTATAATAAGTCGCCTTGTCCAAAGTGGGTCAAGTTTTAGGATCATGCACCGTGAGATGTAGTCTTTCTTACAATCGTAGCCAAGTAGTTTTGAGGTAAAATATCGTTGGATACTTTCCATCCTTAGCTTGTCGCGTGTGCGAGTGCTGCTTATAATAAATGGACAGTATTCTAGTAGTGGTCTGACACATGTTTTGTACAGAATTAGCTTGGCTTCATTGTCGTGAAAGTTCCTGAGTATGCATCCTAAGAGCATCCTCGATTTTCTAGTCTGTGATGCTACTTGCTCAGAGAATGTCAAGTCACTAGAGTACCTCAGGCCTAGGTCAACGACACTTCGGAGTCTGGTTAGGTTAGCGGATTGAAGCGTTAATTTCAGGTCAATTGAGGGTGCGCCGAAGCAGATCCAGCCACATTTGTTCAGATTGAATTGGAGATTCCATAGGGACGACCAAGCAGTCATTTTATCTAATTCCTTCTGCACTACATTCCCGAGGTACCCTAAGTCATCACATTGGAATGTATAAGCTACTTTTAGGTCATCTGCAAAGATGAATGGTTTCCCGTGCGTGAAGCAAGCGCATATGTCATTGATGTATAGTGTAAATAGGAAGGGTCCAATGACACTACCTTGTACTACACCAGAAGTGATAAGGCTAGGTTTGGAGGTTGCAGACCCGAGTTTAACTATTTGGGACCTATTGTTAAGGAATGATTTAAGCCATCCTAATAATGGGTCACGTATTCCTAAGGAGTTCAGTTTATTTGTTAGCAGTAAATGGTCAACACGGTCAAATGCCTTAGAAATGTCAAAGTAGATGACAAGTACTAGTTGCCGTCTGTCACGACTGCTGGTTACAAAATTGAAGAAGTCTAGGTGACATTTCAAACATGATCTGGATTTCAGGAATACATGTTGGTTCGGACTTATAATATTGCGGCTAAGCATATGTGTGATTAAGTTATTTTTAACTAGTCTCTCCATAATTCTAGATGCTATAGGTGTGACATTGATTGGCCGGTAGACACTGACTTCAGTTTTTGAGCCAGATTTGTGTTTAGGCATAATGAATGTTGTCTTCCGTATGTCAGAGTAAGTTTAGGTTTCTAGGGACATTGTGAATATTTTAAGCAGCAGTAGAGAAATGTCAGGGCCACCATATTTATAGAAGTAAGATGATATACCGTCAGTACCGAAACCTTTTCAAAATTTGAGGGTTCTTATAGTTTGGTTAATATTAGTGAAGTTGAATTCAACGGTGCTAATTTGGTTTGGTGTGGGTGGAGATGGAGACTGTGCCATATTAGTAACACGGTGTGTCAATGGAGTTGAAGATTGAACGATCAATTCTTGGTTGTTTGCTTAAAATCAACTTCCCCAATTGTCGCGGAGGCATCAATACGACAGTCATCGTCTCATCGGTCGCTGTTCAGAAAGAAGAGTGAAACATCGTCAGAAGTAATACAATGATTTATTATTGTAATATTTGTTTTCAGACCTTAGTTCGCTTATTCTTTTTATATGTTGGTGTAACAATAAAGAAATCTCAAGCGGCAGATCGGTGTTTTGGTTTTTTCGTCCGTTATAACTAAGCGTTTCTGAAATCTTCGAGGAACAGCGTGGGCCTGAGCGTAGCGAGAGCTGGGCATTAACGGTTTATGAGATGTGATTGACAGTTTCTGACGATAGAAACAGATCTGGCGGATTGAAACAGTTGGTGAAAGTTTGGATGGTCGCCGTTCATTTTTCCTGGTGCCGGTCAAGTCCTCTTTGAACAAGCAATATCTGGAACATTTTTGGAATTTGCTCAAGTTCAACAATGCCTGGGTCAAAGAAGGGACAGAGTGTCTTGGATACAAACAGGAAAGTAAGTCATGGTGACTTGTCTGTTAATTGTAACGATGTGTCTGATGTTAAGCATGACATGGTTGATGTTATTGTTTCGCCGTTCAGGGATAATAGGAACATCAAACTCCCTAAATTAGAACCACGGTGTTTCGATGGAAACCCGGTCGATTATTTACAATTTGTAAAGGAGTTTGAGATCATGTTGAGTGGTTTTTTATTAAATGATGAATTGAAGTTAATGTATTTGATGAGATATTGCACTGGAGATGCTGCAAGAGCTATACAGTGCTGTAAGTTTATGAAGCCAAAAGAGGGCTACTACGAGGCTATGAGCATATTACGTCAAAGGTTTGGAAGACCTTCGATGATTTCAGGGAAATTATTCGAGGCTGTTAAGGGTAATGGTGGTCAATTACAGGATGACTCCCAGGCACTCACTGAGTTTTTAGATAATTTGCTGATTTACAAGAATGGAATGATTTCGATTGATCGCATGAGTGACCGCAACTCGAGTTTTATACTAGAAGTAATAGCAAGACGTCTACCTACTCGACTGCAAAGGAAGTGGGTGAAGATGAGCTCCCGTATGGAGGATGAGGGTATCGAGCCAAAGTTTGATGATATCCTGAAACTGGTAAATACTAGTGTCAATCAATCTATGAGCAAGTTTTCCAGTCTATTAGATCTCACCCCTAGAATAGAGCAGTCTGAGGGTAAAACGCACTCATTGGTGACGAATAAGCCTCAGAGAGGTGGATATCGAGAAGGCACCATGATGTCTAGTAATGCATATAGGTCTAGTGAGTGTAACAGCTTTCGTAGTACATGCTCAACAGATAAGTTGCAAGATGCAAGACAAACACGGTTGTGTTTCACACGTTTGCAAGAGGTGCATACAAAGGTGAGCTGTGAACCAGTGAGCAAGTTCAGTGATGAGCTAAATGTAAACTCCAGGTCTGACTCCGTATTGTGTGACGATAACGGTGC